AAATTTTAAATTGAACTAAACAAGAAAAGATGAAACTTTGATTCTTAAAAACTTCATCTTTGTGGCATTTTCTTCCATCATAACAAAAAAAAAATTTCTCATTTCATATAATCTAAAGATAAGCTCCGAAGTTTTAACAAATTTATATAAAAAAAACTTGAGGCTAGGGAAAAGCTTGCAGAAAGTCGAAATATATCATTTGCACTTTTAATAATTTTTCATTAATATTTATGAATAATAATTTTCATTATAAAGTTTTCTCGGTTTTCGGTTGTTGGGAATGAAATATAAATTTGTGAAGAAATTTCAGTTTTGCTTGGGGACTTTCGTAAAGGAAGTTTAGATATTTTAAGAATATCTGAAAACATCATAAATTCTAGACAAAGCACACTCTGAATATTTTGCTGCTTTGTAACGAGTTGGAAAAGAAGTTCACTGATGCAAGAATGGATTTATTTTTGTTTCTTCCATTTTTAACGAGAATTCCGGAGAGGAAAAAAATATTTTCATTTCTCTGATATCAAGATTTTGCCTTGGAGGACTTTTTTGGATGAAAGGAGAATGTGATTACAGTGTTCGCAGAGAGAACTCACTCAAAAGTCCACCCGAAGCCGTGACAAACTCCGCTTACGAAATATTTGTTTTTTATGTTCATGTTTTTCTTTCGTTGAAAATTCTTTTTGAGGGAGAATAAACACTTTGAGATGAAAAAACGTGAAATAAAATTCACATTCAATTGCAAGTCAGATGTAACAAAATGTTTCAGTTCAGAGCTGTTGATTTAATGATAAGAAAATACGTCAAAACAAAAAGAATTCTTAAATGGAAGGAATCATTGATGAAGTGGAAAGCAACAACAACACTGAGCATTATTGTAACAATCACAACAAATTTTATGCAAGCGATGAAACATTTATGGAACAACGAGCGATTTTTCTCCATCATGTTATCAACAACTTCATCACTCAAATAAAACAAAGTGGAATAATTCACGTAATGGAATTATAGCCCATTGACCGACTCTTCACATAACATCCCATAAAGATCTCAATCAGACATGTGGTGCTCGATTGTTCGATTTAAAATATTCAGCAATCAGTGGAAATGGTTTTTTTGTAGCTGCGGTTCATGAAATATTCAAATCAGCTCAATTTCCAACAGCAGCGTTGTGATGAAATTCGAACTTTTGTCAATAAAAAGATTCGAGACGAAGACAAAGTTTTTTAATTAATTTTTTTTCTTCTCAACCAAGCAACAAATTTTTAATTAAATGAATTATTAAAGTGTTCTCACCACACTTTTGATCATTGAAGGCGGAATAGATTTCTCGTTCCCAAATAAATAGATAAATATTCATTCTCCTGCCAAGATTGTTCGACGTTATAAGTAAAAGTTTTCCTTTCGAGTCGATGAATTGAGAAAAAGCAATAGATCAACGAGCAACAAGATGAAAGTTTTCTCACTGGTGGGAATTTAAGTTGAGAATCTTTTCTTGCTCTTTTTCCATTTTTTTCTTTTTTGCTGTAATGCAACAACGAGCAATGAAGCTAATCACTTGCAGTCGACATTACTTTCTTCTCTCGTTCCCGAAGCAATGCAATGATTTTCAATTTATTATCTACTTTTTTATTTTACACTTCTTAACATTTTGTTTCTTGCTTGTTATGGTCAAATGGCAATTCTTCAATTGAATGAAACTTACAATGTCTGTGGGGTGATTTTACTAGTTCCGTTGCTGAACCTAATGAGTAATGAAGAGAAAATAATGTTGAAATATAATTAAAAGCTTTGATTATCCTCAAGAGGTTACAAAAAAAGAATTTTAATGTTTTTCTTACATTATTTGTTCATTGGAACTTCTTCTTGATAAGAGAGACGATGAATAAGAAACGCAATAGCTGAACATAAAGTAAAAGGGAGAGAACAAAAGTATTAAGATAAAAACTCGAAAGCAATAAATTTACAGCGTCGAGAATAAATTTAAATTTTAATTTCTCAGCCAAACGTTGAATGTTCGTTCAATTAATTAAAAAGAAATTCACATTTTTTCTCTGTTTGCACAAACTTCTTTGACTTGGATTAGATAAAATGTTGAAGAAATAAAAGTAAACATTTGTTGGAAGAATCTAAGTCGTAAAGTTAAAGTTTTCTATTCAGATTTACCATCTCATGAACCTGAATTGTTTTTCTTATTAATCAGCGGAAGTGTTAAACTGCGAGTTTGCTTATCGCCTTGTAAGTTGTGCTTAGATTGAACGTGAAACAATGGGCGAGCTGTGGAATGCAAAACGCATAAAAGCAGCAAATAAAGAAAATAAAAATAAATAAAAAACACACAAATGCGAAAGATCCCGCGGGAAATAAACGAGAGACTGTTGCATGTTGGAGATCAATAAAAGTTAATAGTTTTCCTCGCTACAATCCAAGGGCAGTTCCATGCTGTGTGCCTTAAATCATTTGATTAGAGTTCTTCTTTCATTCCGCTGCAATTTCGAAGAATCTTTCGACCATTAAATAATTATTATCTGCCCTCAACAAATCATTTCATCGACATCGACATTCAAGTTGAAAATTAAGTGAGTCTGCATGAAGTTTAATGAAATGCAAATTCAGTGCAATAAGCGAGGATTTTTGGCTAAGAAAATAATTTTATTTGCGCTTATTTGCATAAATGCGCAATCGTAGAGGGAAAAGTGGATCAGAAATTGTAATTGAATTTCTTTAGTCTGCCATTTATGCATCCATTCACGGTTGGCAAGACCTTAAGTCGAAGGAGATTTGAAGCTAATGAGATAGATAACGAGATTGAATTTATTTTGAAATTTAATTTGATTTTTCTTCACTCTCGTTCAGTTATTCGCCTTCTGACGCTTTTAAGCACATTAAAGAAAATTTTCGTTAGATGTGCAAGTCTAGCGAGTTTAATTTCCTTGGAATTTTGCGACTGCATTAAAAACAAACTCGACAAAAAATATGATGAAGTCGGAAGCAAGATCATTACGACCGCAGTATTAATGTAAAATATTTATAACGTAAGTAATAAAAGAAAGAGAAGAAAAAATATTTGCAGAATCTCATGGAACATAAATTAAGTAATTGGAGAAATGATTTGTAATTTTTCCTCGTTTTTCTTGTTTTTCTCATTTTTATTTTATATTTCGTCCTGTTTGATATTCTCCGCAAATCTCTTGTTCGGATGATATTTAAATGAGAAATGTTTTTCATGATAATCCGCCCTATAAACGCAGAAGCCAAATGAAAATGAAAGAACATTAATGAATCTTTATTGCGGTTGGGTGAATTAAATGAAGGAAAATATTCAATTTGTTAAATTGACTTTGTTTCTTTCTTTCAGCAAAAAAAAATAAAAATCTAAAGATATAATGTTGAGTTTATAAAATGTTTGTTCAATTGATTAGTCTAACGAATCATATGGAATTTAATTAAATAAAAAACTTACACTAATTAAGTTATTAACATTGAGTGAATGCCAGCGGATAAAAAATTAACATTTCAAATGATTCCACGAACACTTCTCGTTCGTATTCTTCCTTCCTGATTATTTATCGCTGTAATTAATATTTATTGTTGTTTCATAGCATCACAAAGCGTAACAAGAATTTATAAAAAATGTAAAAGAATTTCAATTGACGCATTGTGAGCCGGGTGCCTAAAGGCGAATTGTTTAAATTTTCATTGAATTTGAATTCCATCAAGCGCTTGAACGACGAGGTAACTTTGGAACTTATTTTAGAATTAATTTGAACGTGAAGCGAAAAAAATAGCAAAAAAAAATGTTTTGGAACTTGAAGATAAATAAAAAATGTTAATTATCAAAGAGTTTGATTGCGCAAGACAAAAGAAATTTATTCATCATTTTTATTTATCTCCAATTCCAAGTCTAGAATTCCTGATATAATTTAATCAATGCATTTGAAATAAAATCAAAACTTTTCACTTTTCGTTATCAGAAACTCGATAAGATAACATTGAATAAAAATACTTAATCAAAGAACTTGAATATTTGCAAAGCAGTCAAGCTCTTGTAACGAACAAAGAATGAAAAGTTTTATAATCTTGGCGGTTCTTTTTATTGGTGCTGCGCTGGGAGCGCCAGCTGAAAATATTTCTTCTTTTATCATGGGTGGAGTTAATGCATTCCCTGGTGAATTTCCTTTCATGGTCAGTATTCAACATTTCTTTCTGGGAGGTAAAGCATCTAGAAATAACTTTGGGTCTTAAGACAGCTGATAAGAAATTATTTCACTGCGTAAATGTCAGGTTCACATATCTGTGGTGGAGCGATTTTAAGCCAAATTTGGGTTCTCACAGCTGCGCATTGTTTGACAGAAACTTCAACTCGAGGTTCAATTGACATTCTTGCAGGAAAGCACAATCTCAATTTGGACGAAGAAGGTCAACAGCGAATTGAAATTGAACGTAATCGGTGGTTAGTTCATCCGGGTTGGCAGGCAGGAAGAGAATATGGACCGTTTGACATTGCATTGGTGAATTCTTTTATGTCGCTTGTAAAACTCTTTTCAAGGTTGATTTTTCAGGGTCGTTTAGCATCACCTTTAACATTTACAGCTAGAATCCGACCTATTCGGCTTCCAGCACCAGGATCAGCTGCATTTGGTCCGATAACTTTTGCAGGTTGGGGTGCTGACTCAAATGGAATTGGAAGTGGACCAGTCAACATTCTTCAAAAAGTTATGTTCTCAACAATCACTAACGAAGTGTGTCGTGATGCAATTAACGACATGAATGGACCTGGAGACATTTTGGATAGCACAAAATTCTGTACCGGACCGTTAACTGGAGGGTTTTCAACATGCGAAGGCGATTTCGGTGGACCAGCCTTTCAAGGCTCTCCAGGGAATGAAATAATTGTTGGCATTGCTTCATGGGGTAAGAATTGTTGACTTAAAAACATTTTGAATGTTGAGAGAACTGAAACTTTTAGGTATCACACCCTGCGGAATTCGTGGAGCTCCAACTGGAATCTACACAAAAGTCAGTGACTTTACGACTTGGATCACTGCCAACACTGGAATTTCGCATTGAAACAACTTCATCTTTCATTTCAAAGATAAAGAAGATATTATGAAAGCGACAACTTAATTGCAGTAATAAATGTTTTATTTTGACTCAAAACTCTTTCAATCTCTTTATCGTGCATTTATTAAAAACAAAATCAACAAAAACTCCCCGAAAGTTTATTAAAAAAAAAAGTGGAATGAAGCCCACAGAAGCAAAATTTAATTTTTTTCTTCGAAACCATAAAAAATTGCTCGATGCCAGTAAAAAAAACAAAAATTATTCAAATTAAATATTTCACCGTTCCCTGAACAATTTCTTTCATGACGGGAAATTTATGGAGCCCACAATAACAGGCGTAGAGAGAAAAATTATTTATTATTTTAATTTGTAATTATCACAAACTTCTCTACCTTGTGCTCGTTCTTTTTTGTTTTTTGATACGCGGGCTGTAAAATAATATAAAAGACATAATTTTTCTTCCATACACGCAATATTAAATCGTTCAAGATGCGTGTAACAATGCTGGCTGCCTGCCTCCAACTGCCTTCCCGCACTCCTCAAGGCTCTTGATTTAAGACTCGTTGACTGCTTCTTTTCCTAAAATATCATTGAGAAAAAAACAAGAGGTAAAGTATGAAACTTTATGTGGGTAAGAAATAATTTCTTTCACTTTTGATATCAAGAAAATAAATTTATTGAGTCATTGTTGAATTGTGTAGAGAGTTTATTTAACGAATCTGCCTACTGTGGCTGCACGGTTGGATGTCGAGTTGTTGTGAGTATTTAAATGTTCTCAGCGAAATTAGGGAGCAAATGAAAAAGCTTTTTAAAAATTACGCCAATAAATCTGTCGTTTTATTTATGGCTTTAATAAAGTTTCATTGAAAAGAAATTTTTTTATGGAGATGCAAGCTTATTAAAAAACTAAACTGTTAAGAACATTCACATTTAGTTTTTCAATCGTTTTTTATAGAATTCTCCAAAAGTGCACTAAAAAGTAGATTCAATTAAAGTGAAACTTTTCAATGCGCTTTAAAGAAAATTATTATAAATGAACACTGAAATAAATTCAAGAATATTTTGGAAATTCTCACCTGAATTTCGGAAGCCATAAAAACCACTTTTGTACAACTATTCAATTATTTAAGTTTTCATTCGTAAGAGAAGAGCTGGGAACTGATTGTTATTATTATTGTTCATGATTTAGAAATAGAATAAAAGTTTAAAAATATTTTAAGTTGAAGCTTGAAATTTATTTTTATTTATAACAATGAAAGGTTGACTAATTCTTAATTATTTTCTAAGAAAGTTAAAGTTCCAAATTAAATATTTTGCTTTAGAAGAAATTCTTTAATTCTTCATCTTCCTTATCAGGCCAACTTTGTTTATTCGCTGGAGTAAAATGTCTCACAACATCACAAAGACGCATAATTTAGCTTCATAAATAAAGGATGACAACTAAATTTGATTATGCAAATTTCCGGTGAACAAAAATGCTTTTTTTATCGTTTAATGTGTCCTAAGAATATTTAACAAAATATTAAACGATAAGATCGGTGTGAAGAATAAAGATATCAAGTGTCAGAATGTTTTAATGCCAAGTCTCGTTTGTGTGGGAAAATATTAAATTGAAAGCGAAGTAAAGTCGGTGTTGAATTACACACAAAGCAAGTTTATTCACAAAATAAGCGATTATAAATTTGCGAGGTTTCACTAGAAGAACTTCATTATGTTCTCAACAATTTAAGAAGAAGTTCAATCGCATTATTTAGATAATGAAATGGAATTCTAATTCATAAATTTAATTAAAAGAACTCATCAGTATTTCAAAGGTGCTTTAAGAGAACTTTTTACGTTTTTCATTTTTCTGATTAATTTATAGAATTATTCATCGTTGGAATGCGACAAAGAATGAAACCAGTAAATTATCACTTTTCACACCCTTATCAAAGTCTTAGTTAAAAATGCTTTCCTTCATTGTTTAGCTTCTTAAATAATTTTACGTCAATTATTCCACCCCATCATGTAAATAATGTTAGCTAGAAAAACTTCCCACTCAGTTGCGCATACTATCATGATAACTCCGACAGATCTTCTTCTGGATCCAATAAATATAAATAAATAACCGCGTTGCTAAAAAGTTTCTTTTTTCTTTGCTGCAGATCCACATCAACGATGCTTCCTTTTTCTACCTTAGACGTTGATTTATGGACACATAAGGTGCGTAGATACTGAAGAAAACTTTCTCATTCGAAATTTATAAATGTTGTGAATACGACACCCTTATGAAGCATTAAAAGGATTTTCAGATACTCATTATAATTGAATCATAATTTATGTCTCCGAATGGAAATCTTGTGCTAAGCAGAAGTTTTATCTGCGTCAAGGGTAACGTTTGATTCATGAGATTGTCCCAACTGTAGTATCAACGAAATTAGCATTTAAGAAAAAGTTTGCAACTTTAAACTACTCAACAACACTTCAATACGGCCACAGAAGGTTCATCGTTCATTCTTCCATCAAACATACAACATCAACATAAAATGTTGATGGAAGTGAAAAAAAGAAGAAAGTTTTGATAACCAACACTTTTTATTTATTCGTTCTCGTGCGATTTGAAAAGAATGGTCAGCAGAAAACCATTGCGGTTATCAAGTTTGGGGATAATATGCGAAAATTTGAGGTGAAATGGAAAGCTTGTAAAGATGAGAATCCTTTGATGATGAGGGTATGGCGAGACCTTTATCTCCATCTCTGAATTACATTCTGCCCTCAAAAACCTCTTTACTGATACAAAAAGAAGGGACTGACTTCACCGCATCAACAACAACAACAACAAGAGAATAAAATTTGAATTTAAATAGGAATTTAAGAATTGTTGAAGGTGGATATGGATAGAAAACCCACAAATTTGTGAGTTGCACTCACAGTTTGAAAGCAAAACCGAAGCAGAGAAAAGGAAGAAAAAAAGCAATTGTAATGTCTTTAATATCCAAGGGTGCACTTGAGTAGCAAATTGAAATTCCATTATGTTCTTAATGCATTTCGAATGAACAGCAGAAAGGTCTGCTTATACTTTAAAATTCTGTTTTGTGAAACATTGTTTATTTTTAAAAGAGATTTGTGATTTGAAATTGATAAATTATCGTAAGGTGAACGATGGCTTAAATAGACTCAAAGATAATAAATTTTCAAAGTTATTTTAAGAAAATATCAAAATAATTTAATGGCTGATAAGCAATGAAAACTCCAAAAGTCGATTCAATGAGTTTTCTGTAACAGTAGCAAGGCAGTCAATTTATGAAAAAACATTTATTCAAATATCTAATCCAAAGTAATCTTCAACATGAATCTCATACATACCAACAATCTGCATAAATCAGAGCCGCAAGTGTTTTATGACGATTGTGTATCGATATTTATACTGCTAAACATTATATTTCAATCTCTTTCCCAAACATTCCGGAATAAGAAAGAAAGCGACAACGAAACGCTATCATAAATTTAAAATCAAAAATATATAAATTTCATGTTTCGAGGTACATTTAGATACTTTTTTGGAGTTAAAATACCGGGGGATCTATACAATAGTAAAATAAGAAGAAGTGAGAGAGAAGGAAGAAAAAAATCAAATTTAAATGGTAATTTTAACATTAATCGTGTAGGTTTTCTTTCCTGTTTTTCATCTTTCGCTTACATTCTTTTTTATACACATAAATAGGTATTTTCTCTCTTTCAAAACATTGTTATATGTTTAGCATATTTAATTTAGTTTGTTTGTCGATTGTCGGTGCGCTTATGGGAACCAAATGAATGAGATGAATTAAGTGACTTGATTGAAATTTTATTTAACGTTTACAAGTCATTCCATGAATGACAAGAGAGACTTGAATGAGAGCACCGGACGAAGTTTGTGATCTACAAGATTCGATTACATAAGAGATTCTCATTTACATTTGAATGCGTTCCCAGACATTTTGCGATAATCTGTCTTAGGGCTGTCAGAATTTGACATTATGAAGATTGAATACTGTATCAAGTTAATTTAAGAATAAACCTCTTATCAAAGAGATTTACAATCATATGTAGAATTTGGTTCGTAATGGCTTCGAATGAGAGTTATTTATGAAAAATTTATGCAACTTTGCGTATTTCTTCTCTAATTTATCGGCTGATGTTTTTGCGAAGCTCCAAAATATCAGCCAAATGAGCTAATTTCGTATTCACTGACTGGTTGGCGAATGCTTTTATGGTTATGGCTATCGCTTGGCGCTGGTAGAAGAGAGATGGAAAAGTTGGGCGCAATGGACTCAGCACATAAGTCAAAAGCACTCAGAACGACCAGAGAGAGAAGGAAAGATAAAAAAAATATTTAAATTTAGAGCAATTTATCTCGTTTGTTGGGAATGTTTAAAAAGTAAAATAAATGTTGTGAAATCATACATAGGATGAGGTTGCAATTTGTAGTTTTTATTTTTGCATATTTATTCGATTGCCTGTGGTGTTTGGAATAAATATTCAAAGGGAAGCTGAAATTTTTGAAGTAGTTAAATATTTAGACTCAATGTGATCGACCTTGCGACAGACGACGGCAAGAAATTTTCTGTGTTAGAGCGAGAAGTCGTGGTGGTTGAAAAATTAATGAAAATCAACGTGCAACATGCTGGGTCGCGGTGCTGTTAAAATATTCCAAAAACAGTCAAGCAAATAGGAGTCAAAATTTCGTTTATGATCGTAAAATTATTGTCTCTCGTTTCTGCTTTTGCCGTTTGGTGTAAATCAAAAAAACGTCTTTTTCTTTTTCTTAGGAGTGGCAAACATTAAAAAAGAAACAGAAACTCAAATATAACATGGCTTTTATTATGCTTCCACATAATCCATTGAATAATAAGATTTTGAATCGTAAAACAAGCAGTTTGGTCCCCCAATGGTTTCAATTGAAATCAAAAACTAAAAAATAACATGAATCATAAATGAAGTTATAGTTTAAGTTCGATAATGTTAGGGTGTATTTGCTTGTTGGTTAGATTTCAATCTTTAAAGTTTTCAATTAAAGATTATAATGGAAATTTTTCTTTTTAGCACTGTGGATATAAACGCAATTTAAGATTGCCAATAAAAGAAGACAAAATACTTACGAGAAAGGCATAACAATAATAGTACATTTGCTTGAACTGCATAACATCTCAAAGAAGTCCATATAACATAAGCAATTGAGTGAGAGTACACAATGATTGTTAAAACAACAAGGTAACAAAAAAGGTTCCAAATTATGACTTAATTTGTCGAGATCATGCGAGTTCATGGTGCGACGAACGAGGCTGATATGTCTCGAGTGTATTTTAGTAATGGCTTTAATGACAGGGCCTTTGGGTCCAATTTGAATGAAACATGACGACTCATGGTCCGTGCCAAGCGCCTTTACTAAGCACATGGACAATGTAAATAACGAACAAGATGAGATGAATAAAAAAAATTGTTTAATTTACTTCTAATTGAAATCTCTTTTTTCAGACGTTTCATTATTAAAGCGCGTCTCGTGTTTATTTGCCTTTCGCGCAAGATGAGAAGCCTAATAGAAGTAAATTGAGTTGTAAAGCCGCATTTGTGTAAGATGACGACGACAAGTTTCTTTTTCTTTTGTTTTCTAACAATTTCCTGTTCAATAATACGACTCGATTCAAGAAACACGAAGACAAAATTTTCAATTAAGTGACGTAACAAAAAACTCATTCGCGAGTGAACAATTAATTTTGATAACGTCATTAAATTTCTGCTTTAATTATTTCAACCATCGTGGGGCTGATGAAAAATCTGTTGCGGTATATCATCAAATCTTTACGAATCTGTGGCTTTTTCCCCTTGAAATGCTAAATTAATTTCCTTCAAGACGTTTCCTTTTCATTACGAACAGTCGAGTTGTCTATGTCGTGAACCATTGAGCAATGAGAAGCTTGCCAATGAATCGGAAATAGAAATGTTTACGTTTTCTGAAGACTCAGTGATGAGAAAAATGCTTTTAAAAATAATGAATTCGCGATAAATTATCTAAGAACAATTGAAATATATTTTGGAGGTGGTTTAATGCCTCAAGATTACAATTTGCATAAAATAATTTATTACAAGTTTTGTATTTTGTTCGAAGCTTAATTTGATATTTTCAGCCTTCAAGCTTCACTTCTCTCCATGGTTAACGTCAACGTTTATTAATATTTTGCATCACATAATTCATAACAATTTTAAAATGGTCGATTTATGTTTTTCATTATCAAACATCAACATAAATTCTATTAAATATGTTAAGCAATAAATTGATGTTCATGCTTTGACTTAGCTCTTTCTTTTTCTTTTACATGCTTTCATTACGTCCCTCTTATGCCTTCTTCATCTTAATTAATTATTCATATTTTCTTAAACTTTAATTATTTTTCATTCTTATGCTTTCAACATGTCTCAGAGTGCACAGGTAATTTATCGCTACTCAACTAACATGCGAAAAGTATTTTCTTGTGTTCTCTCTTCATGTCTTGATTATACATGCAGTTTGGACTAAAGCCATGAATGAAATTGTAGGAGTTTTCGATAACATGCAAGAAGAATTTTAAAAACTTTGGTATGAAATTCATGTTGAAAAAATATTCTCTAAAATTTTGATGCAAAAATTTCATAAAAGTTTAGGCAAGTGTTGAAAGTTTGGCATGAAACATTAATTTTGTTTGTTTACTTACTTTGATAGATATTTTTTAGATGTTTTTATATTTTCTTTTAAAATGTTTGAGCACCCTAAAGTTTGGTTTAGCTTCGGTTATTCAAGCTGAGAACATATTTAAATGTTAAATTTAAAGACTAAAATATTACAGAAATTGCTGCTCTCGGCCAATGTTCTTAAAATATCATATAAAATATTGAAACATTTCTCAAGCACATTTTACACTCAACATTCAGCTCGAAGCATCAATAAAATTCATAAAAATATTAACCCAAATTTATTCAAATAAAATGATAAACTTTTATAATAAAGCAAAAATAAAATAAATTAAAAATTCTTCTACTGTTTCGGAATTCTAAATTTTGCAATATTTACTAAGACAGCAAAGGAGATTGTGAATTAAAATTTATTTAAATTTGTTCAAGTGTTAAGCAGCGAGGGGTGAATTAGCATAAAAATTTACGAATGGTCCTTTGTTTAATGTTGTAAATTCTCATTACATATTTTATGTATGCAGAAATAAAATTTTCTGTTCTCCGTTCTTCTACGTTTACTACTCTTTCATTTTCACACGAGACAGAGATAATTCCACGATAATGCCTCTTTAAATTTATAATATTTTTCATGTTTAACAACGACAAGAAAATTATCATAAAGATTCTGTCTTCGCTGCACCAAATAAGTAGAAATGCAGAATATTTTGGCTCATGCCTTGTTTCATTGTAAGCAAAGTCAGGGAAGACGCATAAAGAGACGATAAATTCGACCCAATTGAGAAAGAATATGTTGAATAATGTACAATGCAAAATGACACAACTGGTTGAAAGAATTCTTAACAACATCGCGATTTACAAAAAAGGCAAGACACTTATATAAATAAAATGACAAAGAATATTCTTGCCATAGCGTAAATTTGGTTTCTTAAGCCGCGTGAAAAAATAAAACTCGCTGTTGTTTGCATCTTCAAATCCCAATTTTCTCATGTTTCAACTTCCCGTTGTTATTTCTTCCCGATCCTTCTTTTCATTCCTTTGAATTCCATTGTTCAAACAATGCGTGGTTATTACCAACAAAAAGTTCTTTCGAGGGTTGGATTGTGGGAGGATTATTGGGGAATTTGCGAAACAATTACTAAAATTCAGAAACACCAATTTGATCCTTTTTAATGTTTCAAAGTTTTTAAAGAGAGAAAAATTATACAAAAGAATACAGAAAGTCGCACTTTTCTTTATAAAGAAGAACATGAATTGTTTGGAGCTTAATGTGGCATTTAAAGTAAATCGCGAGATGTCAACACTTGATTCATTTCTCAAGCATGTGAATTGAAAGGTTTTTCTGTCTGTTGACTTCAAATAACATCAATCAGTAAATAAAAATTAAAGTTAATTAAAATTTTATCTTTTTACAATACAAATGTTGAATTTAACATTAAATTTAACACTAAAACAGCAACATTGAAAATTTTATCCGTCTGATATTTCAAATAAACACTTTCAATGTTATTTTGTTTCTCTTATTCATTAACGTCGCGCAAGAAACACAATTTGGAGTGGCTTTCGGATGTGCATTATTTATGACTGCTTTTTACGGGTGTTCTCGTCATTCGAAATCTTGATCATGTTTTCGGAGATTTCTTGTTTTGCTTTAAAACGAAAATTTGTTTTCGTTCTCTCTGTTTCACATCAAAAAGGCAATTTGACAGATTCACTTTGAAATCACCATGTAAGATGAAAGGGAACCTCAACCGCAAGGATTTAATTATCTAAAAATGAACAAGCAAAGTGTGAAATAACAATTTACACATAATTTTTTATCTCTGATAATTCGCTTGACATTTATTCAGTGGTGGGAATTATCACAGCTTTGAGCTGCATCTCGTGTTGATGTGAATATTAAAAAGAAACGCAACGGGGACGCTGTAAGATGATTGATTACTAAGATGAATGACAATGTTTATTTTTCTACCCCCATTTGAAGATTTCTTTTGAATTTTTGTGACCGGAAAATTTTCATAATTCTTCATTGATCCATACTGGAATTAAATTTCATTCTCTTGATATTCATCTTACATTTCCTTGCCTTTTAGAGACTTTAAATCATCGAAATGTCTCGTAATGTTTTCGAGACCAACGTTAACGACACAGCGTGAAAATAATCTGACGGAATATTAAATCCAAAACATATGTGAGTGCAAACGAGATTGAATTACAGAAGAAAGAAATGCATGTGACATGAAAGATTTTATGTGCAATAAAATGTTGAAGTCATTAAAAGTGTCTTAAACACGGTTGGTGATAACAAGCCAACAAGGAAATGATCAGCTCTTGTTTGTAAAGATTAATTATGAGAACACATTAATAACATGTGTAATGTCTCTTGAATGTTTCTCAGTTGATTTGAAATTAAGCCTTTGTATGAGTGTAAAATTCATTCGTTAGTGAAGTTAAAATCTGTCAAATTTATATTCATGTTTTTCAGGGACAATGTTGAGAGAGATTTTGAGATGAAAGACGAATTTAGTTTCTTTTTAATCATCATCATTAGGTCAAGAAGGAGTCTTTAAACAAGTTTTGATGTTACAACATTATGCAAATGTTGAGTGACCACATTGAAATACTAACAAGTTCAATTATATTATAGAAAAAAATTAATTCTGATATTAGATATTTTGATTGATTTGATTGTATCATATAAAGTAAAATATCTTATTAAATTTTGTAAATGTCATAAGATGAATATTCGAATGAAAATTTCTTTTTCTTAAACTTCATTTTAAGTTTTAAATATTTTTTTCTTCTGAAATCAACTAACCAAATTTCAAATACTGATTATTTTGGGTATGTTTTTTTTTAACGCGAACACTTTTTTTAAGAGTCAATGTTATATTTTATCGCAAATACTTACATTGCACATACTGATAAAATTTAAGACATTAATAATGCATCGTTGTTGTCAACATTCACAGACAAAACTGTGAATCTGTGATAAGAACACTGAAAGTCTAATTTTTCCAAATTTTATCCACATTTCAATGAAATAACTTTTACTATCTAAACAATAAGTTTTTATTAAACGTTAGATAACTGATACAAGTGATAGTTTCTACCAAGGATTCAACCATTTCATTCTGCTATCCTTTTTCAAAGTTGTATCATCTAGTCGTTTCACGTCTTTCTTAAATTTCTCAGTTGCTTCTACTCTTTTATTGAGTGTATCAATGTTTTTGATGACAATGCAATCACCATTCTCTTTGATCTGAGTGTATTTGAGGTCTTCTTCTGTTGGTTCGCCGTAAGGGAATCTGATTGGAGTGATCTTAATCAGATGTTTAACCTTCCACATACGAGCGTTATTCTCAGGGATATTTTTAATAACAGCAACGTTAGGTCTCTTCAAAAGTTTTAAGAATTAATATAAATTTTTATGAAAGACGTTGATAACTTACTTCAAATAATCCCAGCTCACGAAGAATTCGACGCTCCCAAAAAGGATTTCCTTGAATTCTTTTGATTCTGGTTACGCGAAACATCTTTGGTGGTGGTTCTTCAGGTCCAGATTCTTCTAATGATTGCAAGATAGGATCATTATCATTCCTAAAATCATTTAATATAGATAACAAACGTAACAATGAAGTTTTTTAGTCACAAGCCTCACTTTGGATAATAATTTATAGTTCCAGTGATATTTTTTCCATCTTTATACAAATACTTTTTATTAATTTTATTTTTATAGTAGAATGATCGACACAAGGTATTGAAAGGAGTTTTAATCTTTAAAAAGTTACAAATGTTGTTCATATTTGTGAATTTATTTTTTTCGGCAGAAAGTTTCAATGCTTTCCACAAAATACTTCTGAACGCACTCAAAAAAGTAAACAACAGTTGTGAACGCAAGCATAAAACAAACTTTCTGGGAATATTAAAAATCTATTTAATTTGATTAGTTTTTAAATTTATCTTCAATCATAATGGTATGTGAAAAATGTGAACTCAAACTGAAACATGTGGCGACACCAGATCCATGGAAAATGGCCGGTAATTAGCAAAATACATTTTTCATTTCTTTAATAATATTTTCTCTTTATTTCTTAAATATTTTTTAGGCCGGTCATCAGCTACAGACAAATCATCAGGTACATCTGGTGGAAGAAAAATCAATGAAAACAAAGCACTGACATCAAGCAGAGTAAACCCGATGAAAGGAATGAGAAAATGCCGGATATGTCAATCTAAAATCCATCTTGAAGGTGCTTACTATTGTCAATCCTGCGCCTATAAAAAAGGAATTTGTGGAATGTGTGGGAAGAAAATAATTTCTACAAAATCTTATCGACAATCTGCAACGTAGACAAATTGTGTTCATAATACATATTAAGTTAGGCTAAAAAAATTTTAATTTAAAAAATAAACTAAGATTTCTTTGAAGTTAAAGTGATTGTTTATGCCTTGGTTTATGCAATTAATTCTAAATATGAGAAATCTTATGGAATCAGGGACTTTTATAAACATTTTTGATGAATCTTTGAAATTTTGTTTTCTAAGTTTCTTATCCAATTCCTAGGGAAAAGTTTTAAATTTGAGGAAACTTTAATGACACCTTTGATTAAAAATCAACCCATTTACTTTTTGTTTTGTTATCAACTTTGAAGTTTTAGACGCCTTTTTATTTGGGTTCTAAAAATTTGGTGGAAGTTATCACTAAATATACATTTGGTTCCGCTTTCTACAAAAGATAAAGCGTATTGAATGACTTCTGTTTCAATTTCCACATTTACAATGCTGATCACGATTAAATATCAATTAAAATTGTTTGAAATTGCTGATAAGTACTGCAGACATCTGAATGAGTAATGAATCATTAAAAACAAAAACAAGCGTTGACAGTTATCGAAATTAAAACAGATTTATGATTAAACATAGATTCCATTAAACCCAGTTATTCTCATGCTGTCAATTATCTTTTTATCATTATTTTTTTTTATTTTGCTTCCGGAAAATTTAAAAAGATAGATCAATGATAAAATTGTATGAACTGATAATGAGATAATGAGTTTTTGGTGAAATTCATTAAGTCACTTCTCATTTTTTTTAAGAAATATTTTTCCTTACTGAGATTATTAAATTATCAAATTTTGAAAGTCTAAAAAGTATAATTCTAGTATGATTCGTGGCAGTTTTGAAAGCTTTAAACTTAACAATTAAGACATGTAAAAAATGATAAAAGAACGACCTATTAAAAGATAAATTTACGGAAATGTAAACAATTTTACATTTTCCAATGAAAAACAAATATAGAAGAACTTTTTAATTAAAAGATATTTTCACCTTTTTTTAAAAAATGAAAGCATAAAAGGTTTAATAAATATAAAAAAAATCTTTATCAAATTGTTTTGATTTCTTAATTTTACATTTGTTTAAACATTTATCACCTAATAAATCTCAACATTAAATAATATCTTTTGTTTTTCTTTTCATTTATCTTCGTCTTTTAATCATCATTCGTCAAAAAATCTTGTTATGTTAATATCACATTACTATTTGCTGCAATCCAATCCAAATAACTCGTAACACGTGTCATTGCTACGGGATCACCGCTTTCACAAGACGTCCTACCAAAACTCACAATACCAATGATGGTGACTTCTCCATTGATTGTTTGTTGCATACTGCTACCAGAATCACCATTACAAGTTGAGCCTCTTGCACCAGAAATGCAAATATTTGAAGGGTTGAAATAACGAAAGCCAGTGTTGTAAATATTTATACAAAGTTGATCTGGGGCAACGGGCAATCTAACAAATCGAAGTGTTTCTGAGATTTGTCGGGGTACTGTTAATCGGAAGAAAAACTTAAATTAAAATACTTACAATATTTAATTGTTTCAATAATTACCATTAGAAGTTTGTCCCCAACCAATAATTGTTCCAAGTGAACCAGTGAATCGATTATTGATGAGTGATCTTGATGGCAATGCAATTTTTTGCATTAAACGATTAAATGGAATTCTTCGAATCAAATGAATTAAAGCGATATCATTCAATAAGGAATCGTTGTCGTATTCAGGATGTTGTCGAATATCGCGTAGTTCAACTCTTTGACGATATTGTGGATTTTGTGTTATATCGATTAGCCCTGCTAACACATCAAGATTGAGTATATCTTCAAGACAATGAGCTGCCTATAAGAATTTACTAGTTATTAACTTCCTCTTTGATTATTTTAATAATGTCACAATTTTTTGCAGTTTTAAAAGAATACTAACAGTTAGAACAAAGTTTGAGTGAATGATACTTCCGCCACAGAAACTGACATGATTTCGTGGTGTAGCCAATCGAAGAACTAGAGCAGCTGCATGTGGAAATTGTGCAATTTTTGCAGCTTGCCCTCCAACTATTCTTAACTCCCTTTCAATAACTGAAGCACCATCAACACGATAATATTCACAAAGTAGCAAAATTGTCATCACAATCACGAACTTTTTCATTTCGCGCTGTTGTTTTACACAATTATAAAAGAAATAGGAAATATCAATCTGAATGGGACTCCGAAAAATGAGAGTGCGAAATGAAATTGATTTCAGTCAGTACATCAAATTTATAGTCGGAAAATATGATAAGAAAGATAAAATGTCTTTAATTTTGTTAAACACAATAAGATATGTAATATTACTTTGAAAGTGGCATGATATGACTGATGGTGCATTGAAGATAAGAAACATATCTAAGCTTCGGAATCCGAATGTATAAAAAATTTCCGATAATTTTTATCAGATGATTTAATTTTATGAATTGATTAGAAATCCATCAAACAGTTATCTCGATTATTTATTTTTGCAATGGCCATCATTATTTGATATGAAATATTTTTATGTCAAGGGCTAAACTTTCAATGAAAAAATTTATAATGAATTTTATCTCGAATGCTTTAATTTTTCAATTTTTGGGTATGAGCTTTAGGTTTTATTTGTCATTTATTTTTCCTAAGAAAGAAGAAACAGAAAAAAGTGTTTTAAAGAGGATAATCTCCTATTTAACTAACTGACCCAATATCGAGACAACAATCGGAAAAACGAAAATTTTAACTGAAAAATGAAATTCAAAAATGATGCGAAAGTTTTTGCATCTGTTTACAAAAAATGAAATTCAATAACAAACACGCAAACCAAAAAAATTTTACTTAAGCGTCAAGATTCTGCTATGGCGTGTCGATTTTGCTATTCATTTACATCGCTAATAAATAAAAGCATTTATGATGGAAACGTATTAAAATTTTTAGAGATCGTTCCTTCCATTGTAAGTATTGGCTATGAAAATTCTTCAACATCAAACTTCATATTTATTGAAAATATTTCAGTCAATTTTAAGCGATGTCTCTGCTCCTAAAGGAATATGCAACTTTTGTTATACCAAGGCAAAAATCTGCATAGATTTTGTATCGAAAATTCTAGAAGCTCAAAAACTTTTCATCGAAAATGGAAACATAAACAACCAAACCGATGAATTCAACAACAGAATTATTCAAAATTTTCAACAAGCAAACGAAATTGTGATTAAGAAAGTGAGTTCATTTACAAGTGAGGATGATTCTGTTGATTGTTTGGAAGAGTTTTTGGACCCTGACATGGATGAATCAACGAATGGTGATGAGATTTTTGATGAAGATGAAGAACCTGAAGATTACATTCCAAATCACAAACCGAAGCAAAAACATCAAAAACAAATGGCAACAAAAATTATGTTTACTTGTTCCAATTGCAAATCAACTTTTGCTAACATTGATCTTCTTTCTGCACATATGATATCGCGAATATGTTTTAATGATATCATACAATGTGAAGAATGCTCAGAGACTTTTGGAACCAAAAACCAATTGTATCACCACAAGCAAAAACACAAATTAAAAGAAATTAATGAAACATCGATTTGTGATATTTGTTCTGAAGAATTCAAATCCAGATATGCCTTAGATGTACATATAGAATCAAATCATCGACGAATAGTTAGACAAGGCTGCATTTTCCGTTGCTACAGTTGTCATGACACGTTTGAATCATATTTAGACTTATTTGAGCATGTACAACAACATAAGAAAGAGAAAAACGAGAATCCAAGACTTTGTGAAATTTGCGCAAAAGTTTGCACGAACTTGAAAACTTATTTGAAGCATAAGTCAACTCACAACCCACGTAAATTTCCTTATGTATGTAAAGTAAGTGATACGAAGATTTGTTTTGCTCAGATCTTTTTTAAGTCCTTTAAATTTGTTCTTTCAGACTTGTTCGAAGAGTTTTACAGCATTCTTCAAGCTTACACAACACATGCACATCCATACAGGAATAAAAGGATTCAAATGCGATCTATGCGGTGTTCCTTATGCAAAGCGCGATTCATTGAGACTTCATATGATCAAACTACACATAAATAAAATGGCTTCAAAGTGATAAATAATCCAAATGAAATAAAGTCGTTTGAAATGATATTTTTTAAAGTTCAACTATATTTAATCTGAGAATATTCTAAATTACAAAACTTATCAATCTTTCTGTTGTTCTTTTGAAGTATCTGATTCTAAGTTTTGTTGCATAGCAATTTCCAAAAGTCTTTCAGTAGCTGTCTGCTCTTTGTGAAGAACTTCGCCGAGTTCTTCGTTGGGATAAGTGATGAGGTTATTAGGTAAGTTTCTGTGGGTGAATGGTGTCCACACACCTTGAATCGATGGCATTTTTGTTCGAATGTGCTTTCTATATCTAAACGCTTCGGTTTCTCCATTTTGAACAGTCATTAAGTTGATCCATTTGAATATTTCTTCTCTCGATAGATTACCTGCTGGCTTCCAATTTCGCTCACCATTCACTGAAAATATACACAAAATATTATCTAATAAACTTTCTTCACAGGCTTTAATGTTGTTCTTACAATATTCACCAACAATACTAGGACCACGATGCCGTCTTGGCTTCACATAAACAACGACACCGGGATTTTGTTTTGCAAAATCAACCAAATCATTCTCAATGAATTCTCTCACACCTCTGGAATTGCCATGACTCTTACAGAACTTAATAGTAACACGTTGAAGTTGTCCAATAAAGCGACCAACTCCATTTTGCAATGGAACTTTGATGAAACCTGATTTTAAGAATAATGAGTTGTTAGCCATGTTTAAATATTTTTCCAATAAGAATGTGTTTAAAATTACAAAGTGTGTTTAGTAAAATTTAAAAAAAATAGCTCCAAACATGTAAACAAAGAAACACGCGCGAAAACAATTTTTCTATCAATTAATTTTCTGTAATTTTTCTCATAAAATTGTAAAGTATTTCACCATAAAATTACGTTATCTTAAGACTAAAGTGCCAAAAAAGTAATGTTATATTAAATTTTGTAAAGATAAAGATGTTTATACATCGACTTTTGACGTCAAAAAAGTTCAGCATTTTGTCTAAGAAACCATTAAAAATTGTAAAAAGTTTAAACTCCCACCATGAATTTTCTACGTCCGTACCAAATTTTAGTAATTTCAAGGATGTTAATAGTGATCAGATGAATATTTCGTTATTCAATATTAAAAAGTCATTAAAATTAGCTAACATCGCATTTGATGATGGATACACAAATCTTAAAACGAATTGTCCTGTTTGCGAAGGAGAAGAGAACTCATCAGATATATACATTAATAAAACAACAGGTAAATTATTTATTTTCGTCATTTAATTCAACATTTTATATTACTAAATTCATCAGGTCAATTCTTGTGTCCAAAATGTCGATATGGAGCTAAATTTGGATTAATCGAGAAATTTTTCACAACTTCACGCTCATCAAAAACTGTTAACGAACTCAAAACATACCAGAAACTATTCCTCACTGCCAAAGAACAATATCAAAAAGAAAATGACTTCATCTTCCATAGCTACGAACAAGAATTTCAAGTCGTTACTTCGAATATGACAAACGACATTTTTACTTATTTCGAATTTGACGAGAAAGTACCAAAAGATTCATTGTTGAGTCTCAATGCTCGTTATGATAGCGTTGGAAAGAGACTTTTGTTTCCTCTGACTGACATTCTCGGACAAATCGTTGGATGCAAAATTCTTTCAAAAGATGAGACCGGCAACAATTTTACAACAGAGACAACCTTTCCTGATCTTCTTTGCTCTGGTTTTGTAATTCATAACAATGAGAAGATCACGAAAAATTCAAAAGACAAAGATCAGATGCCTCATAAAGCTATTATAGTATTAAATATCCTCGACATCCTGGCATTGATGTCAACAAAAATCAACGCAACTTTCATTTGTCTCCCGTACGGATTGAAGTTTCTACCTCAAGAATGTTTACCTGCTTTAGATCGTTATGATGAACTTGTTTTATGGTTCAATTACAATACAGCTGGTTGGGATATTGCGAGGAATTTTGCAAAGAAGTTAGACGAGAAACGTTGCAATTTTGTTCGACCAACAAACGCACATCCGACGCCTTACAAAGCTTTGATAAGCAACATCGATATCAAAGGAATTCTCAACAAATCTCAACCGATTCTACACAAAGCCATCACAACGTTTTCATCTCTTAAACAAGATGTTTTAAGTGATCTGCAGAATATTGACAAAGTTCAAGGTGTTAAATGGAAAAGATATCCGACACTTAACAAATATCTTAAAGGACATCGCAAAGGTGAACTTACAATATTGACAGGTCCAACAGGTTGTGGTAAAACGACTTTCATGTCGGATTATTCACTTGATCTTGCAATTCAAGGAGTTAACACACTTTGGGGTTCATTTGAGATTAGAAACACAAGATTAGCTAGCACTTTATTACGTCAGTTTGCAGGCAAGCCGCTTCTCGATGTTCCAAGTGACGAAAATATGCTTGAATTTGAACATTATGCGAATGCTTTTGAAATGTTGCCGATTTATTTCATGACATTTCATGGTGAGCAACAAATAAAGAATGTAATGGAAGCGATTGAACATGCAACATATGTTCATGATGTTAATCATGTTATTATTGATAACGTGCAGTTTATGATGGGAATTTCAGAAGAAGCAAAACATATTGACAGGTTTTGGAAACAAGATGCAATCATTGCTGCTTTTAGAACTTTCGCAACGAGGAAGAATTGTCATGTGACGTTAGTTATTCATCCTCGAAAAGAGAAAGAAAGTGACGATCTTACAACAAGTTCAATTTTTGGAGGTGCAAAAGCAACACAAGAAGCTGACAATGTTCTTATAATTCAGGATAAAAGATTGACATCAGTCAGGGGAAAGAAATATTTACAGGTTTGATTGTAAAATAATTCGCTTAATTTCTTTTTCAATTTACACATTTTTTATTAATAAAGATTGCAAAAAATCGCTATTCGGGAGACCTTGGAATTATGCCACTTGAATTCGATAAACAAAGCCTCAGCTACGCTCAGAAGATTAAAAAGAAACTTGAATCGTCAGATCAACAAACAAAGTCAGAAATGGAATCATCACAAAACGAATCTGACGAAATCAAAGTTCTGTGATTTTAATGAGTTTTCTTGTTGTTATCGTCGGGCCAATCTATCTACTTATGAAAATAGAAATTTTATATTTTATTGAATTTAAAATTAAAGTTTTTTTTCCGCTTCAGGAGAAAATGAGAAATAAAAAGTTTTTAAATGAAATCAGTTGTTCGTCTTTATTCGACAATTAATCACAGAAATTTACACAACATTTTTTATGTTTTATGAAAGTCATAAAGAATCATTTGAACTTTCAGCTTATCATTATCAAACATTAATTAGGTATAGTTTTTTTTTCGATTTATTTATTTAGATGACTAGGCAGTTTATACCTCGAAGATATTTTAGAATCAAAAATCGAACAAAGAGCTTAATATGTAAACTTAACTTAATGATGAATAAAGAGGAAATCTAAATGTTAAGGCTGATCTAATTCACATAAATGTGCATAAATTTTTCTCTTCGAGTCGAATAATTAACAGTCATTTTTTTAAATTCAAAAAATAACCCTGGAAAATATCCCTTGCACATTCCATTCTTCCCCTCGTGCTTTCTTCTTGAGTCAGATTCTTCTATCGACTTCAGTAAAGTTTCGTCTTTCAACTCCAGTTGAACTAACTTGGTAAACTCGTGATAATTTAATTTTTCTCTGCATTGAAATTTATAAAAATCTCAAGTAAACATCTTGAAAATTTGGTTTCCAAGTTAGTCGGTTTGTGCTGTTAACTCCGTCATTTGTCGTAGCTTAAAGCTTCATCACTATTTTTAAAAAAGTTATCAAAAATCGCATGAAAGTCACAAAAGAAATTTTATGATACTCGTCACGTTCAAGTGAAATTTTCTCATTTAATTCAAAAGTTTCAAGAATTCCTGTAGAAGTAAGTATTTAAATAAACAATTTGCTATTGTTAAGGAATTTCCCATCGAATTTCGCCTTTTTATGCCATCACAAGTGTGACACGGGGGATGTAAAAAAATCAATAATTTCGTGACCAAAAAAAGCCAAGAGACAAAAATATTCTCAAAATTTAATTTTGTTTAAATTTCGAATGAGAATATTTGAAAAAATCAAGCATGTTGAGCTCAGTTAGTGATAACATTGATTAAAACTTCCACGACTACCGTTGACAGTAAAATTCGCGATGGTTCAGCTGTTTTGATAAGAAATATGTCTGGAAGTGATAATCGACGCTATTCACTTTTAGAACCTTCAAAGAGTGCAAAAACTTCGAGACGCATGAGAAAACCCCTGTTTAATGTAAACATCGCATTTGCATAAATTCGCGGAAAGTTTTTTCTTCTTCTGTCCTTCACTATGTGACGATGACTCAAACTCATGACGTCATAAAAACTGCAATCGCTTATCAATAGAATTAAAAAGAAAAGAATAAGAAATTTTTTCATGAGGCTGTACTTCTTTTAAAATATTAAATTGTGTTCTTATTCTTACATTTTGGTGAAACTATACTTTTTCTAATCAGAATCTTAGTTAGAAAGCTGTTCATGAACAAAGAAAGTGTATATAGAAATGAGATTGAATTCAGGATGATTTATGAGTATTTGAGACGCTTTGACCTTTTTTTAATGCTTTCATTAATTTATTGATTGTTTTCTTCTTTTAGGGATATACAGCTGGTCAGTTAGCCCTGTTTAGCAGGGGCACTGGCCACGACGGAAGGCTCAACTTCTTTTTACTGCTGCTGAACGGTGATCCGCCGTGGTGAAAAGAATTAATTCTTGTGGCGACCGGCTGCCTTGTAAGTTTCTTTTATTATTATATAATAAAATTTATGAAATTATTTTCGTCATTTCTTCCTCCAGTTTATTTATCAAATCAAGGAAATTCAACGCAATTCTCGGCTTACGATTTAGGACACTTCTTCGGATTCGATTAGAACAAGAAAAGGTTTTTTATTTCTCTCTTAAAAGATTTCAAAATTTCAAAGCAAGAAACGACAATGAAATTCATTAATCAAGAAGATCGCATTCAAGTGATCGATGGTGAGACAAACGATATGAACATCATCAATGACATCACTGGCTTTGGTACGACAAACCAAGATGAGCCGTTTTATGTCTTCAACATCGGTGACATTGTAAAGAAGCATCAAATTTGGATTGAAAAGCTTCCGAGAGTCATTCCACATTATGCTGTTAAATGTAATGACAACGAAGTTGTTCTTGCAACTCTCGTCGCTCTTGGAACATCATTCGATTGTGCATCGAAAGCTGAAATTAATAAGATTCTCAATCTTGGAGTTCATCCTGAACGAATCATCTTTGCGAATCCAACCAAACAAAAATCTCATATTCGATTTGCAGCAATGATGGGAGTTAAAACGATGACATTTGATTGTGACATTGAATTGCATAAGATTAAAGCAATTTGTCCTGATGCTAAGTAAGTAATTAATAAGAAAATTTTAACTATTGATTTTATTTAATTGAATTTCTTTTCAGTTTGGTTCTCCGCATTCGATGTGAAGCTGAAGACGCTCAATGTCCACTTGGCAAGAAGTTCGGCTGCGATCCATCAACTGAAGCCGTAAAACTTCTGAAAATTGCTCGCAATTTGAACTTGAATGTCATTGGGATAAGTTTCCATGTTGGATCAGGATGTCGTGATTATCCAATTTATTACAAAGCGATTGGAATTTGCAAGAATCTCTTTGAAGAAGCAGAAGCTCTTGGATTCAACATGACATTGCTAGACATTGGTGGTGGCTTTCCTGGTGACAACGACAAGAATATTGACGAAGTTGCGATGATTGTTAATCAAGGTTTAGACACTTACTTTGCAGAAAAGAACGTTCGTGTCATTGCTGAACCAGGAAGATTTTATGTTTCTTCAGCTTTCACTCTCGTCACGAACATCCATTCAAAGAAGAATATTTACGACGAGACAACTGACGACGTCAATAACGTCATGTACTACATCAACGACGGTGTTTATGGATCATTCAATTGCTTGCTTTATGATCATCAACTTGTCAAGCCAATTTTACTGCAAAAACCTGACGACGATGCAAAGAAAATTCCCAGCACAATTTGGGGTCCGACATGTGACGCATTGGATCAAATTGTCGTTGACATTCCCATGCCTGATGTCAACATCGGTGATTTTATCATTTTTGAGAACATGGGAGCTTACACAATTCCCGTTGCATCGCCTTTTAATGGCTTTCCATTGCCAAAAGTGTTTTGCTTCATCTCACGCGATGTTTGGCTGATGATTCGTTCACTCATTCCACTTGATGCTGATGACTTTATTGAAGACTTCTTGAACAAGACGATTGAACATGCAATCGTTTCTGCTTGATTTTATATTTCATTTTATTCAACTTTTTTTTTCTTTCTTTTTTGATTAATATTCAGTGAATGGAATCGTTCATTAAATGTTGAGATTAAATCGACTTTTAAGATTTATTTTTAATTTCTCATTGAAGACATTTAATGTTCGATGTTTTCCACCACATTTATATTTCCAAAACTATTTCTTTATCTTTATTTTAATTCATTCTTTTAATGGGAAGAGATTTGACGATGGGCAAAAGATTGTGAAACTTTAGAAGAATTATGACATAAATTTGCTTGATTTAATAAATAAAGAGGCAGCCAGAAACGCCTCTATTAATGTTAGGAGTAGAAATTTCGAGTTCTCTTTTTGTGTGGGTGGAAATATTTATTTCAGAAACATCAAACATCATTAAAGTTAATTATAACAAATTGTAATGAAAGGTAAGTGGAGCATCATTAGCAACATCGTTAATCTTCAACGGATTAACATTTAATCCCTTCAACGTGCTTTTATGCTTCAAGCTCATTGTCAGGGTGACCAGATTTTCATTTTCCCTTTAATAAAGTTTTTAAATTGAAAGAAAATTCCAAAATTGTTAAAGAACATTTTCGATTAAGAATTACATTTGTACAGCCTTAAATGCAGACGTCTGGCTTTCAAGAATTCCACTAGACAATCGTCGTGAAGCTTTCTTGATACAACAACGTTTCATGTAACGAAGTTTACAATACGCATGAATGTTTGAATATTTTTCTTCTTTGTAGATTCAAACATAAACAAAATGAAAAAAAAAATCCTTGAACGAGCGTGGAGTATTCCATTCAGTCTAAATATTTACTTTGAACATGAAAGTCGAGTAAGTTTGTTCGTTGTTGAACATCCAATTGAATGGAAATGGTTGAAGGCGAAATTCTTCCTTCAAAGTTGGATAAATGTTGCTTTCGTTATGATCTCACTTTAGGATGTGCAGTGTATGTGACAGTTGAAGTTTACTTGTGGGCAATTATGTCGATAGCATCAATTTATTCCGAATTTAAAATGATTGAAAATAATGACCTTGAAGCTTTTAAAACTTTCACGATAAATTCTTCTTATTACGTAACAATTTTCGGAAATTATTCTGATGACATCAGTAATGGAATCATTTGTAAGTCTTCTAAAATTAGCAAATTAATTGTCGTTGCCATAGAATTTTAATGGAAAACTTTTTTCCTGAGTAGAATATTTGAAAAGCTACGATGAATAGAAGAAAATATTGATTTCGTCCGATGTTTTTCCTCTTTCAGCAACGCAAATTGTTATCAACGGATTTCTCTCACTCGCTTTCGTGGCTTATTGTATTTTTGCTGTGATTCTTCTGATTGGAATATCTGAGGTTTGCTTACATAACTATAAGTCGTAGTTAATATTTATTATCTATATAAAAGAATGGAAAAGTTTTATGAGACGCTTGTTGAATGTTTGCATAAGAAAAAAATTAAAATTTTCCACTGAAATGAAATCGAAATTCGCAAAGGTTTCAATATTAAAGAAAGGCTGAAATGAGGGTTGAAGAACTGAAGCCTCAAGGATTTTTATTGGATGAAAACTTTTCAAAAAACTCTTGCCAGAAATGTCTGTTTCTAAGCCACGCTTTGAAGAGTAATTGAAAATGTTTCAAGCTAAAACATTGGAAATTGTAGAATGATAAATGACAATCACAATTTTTATTTGTTTCTTTCAGAAAAATCTCGGATATTTCTTCTTGTATCTTTATCTTGATACATTTTTCCTATACAGTTCTGTAATTGGAATGTTGATTGCAATTTTCATTCCACATCACGTGATGTTTAGAAATTGCCTGATATTCTCCTTAAAGCTTTATCCATCATCGAGTATTTATTCGCTATTTAAGAAATTTGGTGGAAAACCTGTGACATTCAGCAGCATTATAACGAAAACAAATCATGAACCACTCACAAATCCTGATGTGAGAATTGCACAAGTTGATACCGAATCTGTCCTTGAAGAACCAAGAAGACCAGCATCAAGTGACTGCGTGCGACCAAGAGTTTCATTTCAAGATCTCACATCTTCATCTGAACCTAATTTAACTCCACAAAATCCAACGAATCAACCAGCCAACTTGAAAACATGCTTCAGAAAGAATCTTCAACTACCTGTCATCAATTCCTATCCTTGATGCCAACAAATGGTACAAAATCAAAATTCTGTTCATCTCGTGAACGACTTCCTTCCTGAATTTATTGAATTAAATACCAAAAATGTATAAAAACGTGACAATTGTTTGGTAGCTTTAACTAAATTTAGACATTTTGATTATTTAATCAAGAAGAAAATTTTATGTTATGTTGAATTTGTATGAAAATAATGGAAATTGATATTAGAAATAAATAGATAGCTCAATTTTAGACAAAAGTAAGTTAAGTTGCATTCAATCAGTTGATAAATGGAAAATCTTACTCGACTCTGAAATCTCATGAAAAACTCGAATAACAAATGAAAGAAAAAACGAAAATTTTAATATCGTTTTAACTTCTTTATTTAAAAACTAAATAATTGTACAGTTTAACATAATTAACAAAAATTTTGAGAACAAAACGAAATTTTGTGATGGCGAAAAACTTGGCAAAAAGTGAGTTTTAAATTAATTATGACGATTCCGAATCATTTTCTTGTTTAATTGTTCTTACCGTGTTGTCTTCAACTGAGTGATGATCAACTCCATGTTTACCCCAAACCAGACGAAGTGGAAGTGGATCAGCATCATTAATGCATTTTAAAGTGTTTGCATATATCCAAAGACATCGCGTTCTCGATGTTCGCTTGATTTTGTTATGCTTTTCATATTCATCACGCAACATCAACTTTCCATCAACATTTTGCATCAACAATAGATTTGAATTTGAATGGCGCAAATAAGGACCGAAAATCAAAAAGTTCTCCGTCATGGATTCGTGTTCTTTGAAGCTTAATGGTGCAGCTGGAAGTGCGTAAATTTTTGGCCATTTACTAACCTGCATCGAAGGTCTTAATTGAATGGCACGTTTGCGCTGCTTTGCTTTCTCAATCGCTTCCATAATCACACGATAGGACAAATAACGACGCCAACTCTTGATGAAAATGTCAGAGAAGTCGTCACTGATGTTGAAAAGAAACCATTTGTACTCCGAATGTGTTGCGTTGTTTCCACTCTGTGAATGAAAAATTAATTTTGAAAAGTTTCATTTTCAAATGATTTGTTTAGCTCACCATTTTTCTCATCATTGGAAGGAATCTTGTTGGATTCACAGGAAGTGATTGATTTTGTTGTGGCGTCACAGGTTTGTTCTTTTCAACAACTTTTTCTTCCTGATTTTCTTTTTCTTTCTCATTTTCCGATTTTTTTTTCATCATCGACTGATACCAAATGTTGTAAATCTTCTGAATCTTCGCAGTAACTCTCGGATGGGTCAATTTCGTCGGTTTTGCAATGAAAGATTTCGTGTAATCTTCCTTGCTGTTCAACATTCCGCACATTCTCAAATATCCTTTACATCCATAGAAAAGAATTGTCATGTTGTTGATACATTTTTTCTCTACTCGTAAGATGATTAAACGAGCAAGTTCTGGGATCTTATCAGATATATTAAGCTTTCGAATATTCACAATGTTTTCTCTTCTTGCATGTTCAATTTCTGGCTTCACGTTTGTGTGTGTCAACACCATGAGCTGATATTTTTTGTCTTGTTCACTCTCAAGTGTTACTAACCAAATTTGTACTAATTCTTCTTCATAAGATTTCAATAGAAGTTTCCATTGGTAAAGATAAAACTTGTTGAGCATCTCAAATGATGGACGGAGGCCTAAAGTATTCGAACTTACGAGTGACACCAAACGTTGCATTCGCATTGAAAATATTTTATTGAATTCTTCCATTAGTGGTGTCTTTATTCCTGGTGGCGGAGCTTCAATTAATTGCTTCCCTTGAAAGTGCAATGGCGATGAATTTGATGATGAAAATGACAATGAAGTTGATCTGGATCTCGACGATTCTCTTGATAACCTCGAAATTTGTTCTTTTATCAAATCATTCGTTTCATCTCCAATTTGCATTTCAATCTTCTTTCTCACATTACGAAGGATTGAATCAATAATTCCACTGATCTCATTTAATGCACCACGTTCTGTAACTTGAATGCAACTTTCTGAATCCTTATTGAAAATAATTTTAAAGAAATTTGCACTCATGGTTGATGAAACTGGTAACGGAATGGTGTCCTTTGATTGCAGAATAAATATCGGATGATCAAGTTCTTCCTCAAATTGTGAGAAATCCAATTTCTTTAAATCAACACGAGTCTTATCAATAAAGTAAGCACTTTGATTGGAGTAGATTAAAGCACTTTTATTGTTGAGAATTGATCTTGTGATCGGATTTAACCTCATTGTTTTACAATCATAAACATTAATAAAAATTGGTCCAATTCCACCATTTATCAAGTCAATAAGATTTGTTATCTCCAACTTCGGTATGCCATCGACATTGCTAAAGAATGCAGACGCATTTGAATTTTTATTCTCTTTTCCCATCTTTATTTTAACCGGCATAACACGACGCGATGTTTCATTGTCGGAATAATTTTCATTTTCATCGTCGTCACTCGATTCTTCTATTAAAATCGCTTTCGTTGAAGCGATATTAATTTTCGGCTTGGTTTGGCTCATTCTTAAAGCTAACTGCGCTGTCGTTTTAAGAAGAGTCGTTGGTTGCGATTGTTGAGGATTTGAAATTCTCGTTGGAAATGATTGCGAAGGAATTGGAGCAAATCTCTTACAATCACATTTATATAATTTATGAACAAGACACCAAACACTCACGTCTTCTAAACGATGTAAACGACGAAGATCAACACAACAATGAATAATTTTCTTAACTTCATCACGAACTTCTTTCAAATGTGAATGAGATAAATTTTCATAATTTGTTTCGTCATTATTAAATTTCATTTTCTTATTTAACGGTTCATCTTCGGCATCACTCAATGCTGACCATGTTGGTTTCAAATAATCAGCAAACTTCTTCGGTACTCTTTTAATTCTTCTTGAGTCTTTATCTTGGTTTCCTAATAAAACTGTATTGGATTCAGTTACGATCACTGTCGGACGAAGTTCACGTTCAATCTTCCCTAAATGTGCTGTTGCATGTCGACGAATATCTTGTTCCTAAATAAATTTAAAGTTAAAGTAAATATGAGAAAAAAAATTAATTTAATTAATGAAGTTAATGATTTTAATCTACTCACATCTTCAACATTTACTGTGTCGGATTTATAAATGTTTGCATTTAATTTCTTCAGCTCACTCATCATTCGTCTCGACTTGGAATCTTTTGTTGTTTTTGGAAGTGAAGAAAGTTCGTCAACTGCTTCTTTTGATTTAATTGGACTGCTTTCTGATATCACACGAGAATCGTGAGGATCGATTTGTGTAAATAAATCGTCATTAACGTTTAAGAAGACGCTGTTCGTCAAATCTTTAATAATATCAACAATTTCACATTCAAGTAAATCATTTTTATCAACATCTTTTGCAAATGTCCATTCCATGTCATCGTCACTGCTGTCTTCGTTACTGTCGTCATCATATGATGTTAAAAACTTATCCCGATTATCTTTCGATTTTGAAATCTCACGAACAATAATATTTTGCTTATTATTTTCGTAAGGAATTTTAAATTCAAAATCTTTTTCTTTTCCATTCTTCTCGCGTTCTTTCTCGACTAAAGTGCTGAGTGCAAACTCGCACCAATTCTCGTCAAGATCTTTGTAAGGTAAAATTTCTCTCAGGTACATTTTACAATTTTGATCGAGTGCTTTTCTTGTCTCGACAGTGACTTTCATTAAAATATTTGGTAAATCAAAACGTGAATAATTGCCGAGGAACAAATCGTCTTCGTCTTTGTTGTCATTCAATTTAAAATTCTCATTAATGAATTCAATTTTCTTTGATAAAGGTCGAGGCTTAATCGAAAGAAGTTTGTGATCAAGAAATTTCTTTTCAAACGACAAAAAATGATCTGAATTGGCTTTTTTCACAAACTTTCTTATGCTTTCATTATTCACGAAAGATTCAAATGTTTGCTTTGATATTCGTCCACCGCGACAACATCTTGTTGATCTCATCATCGTTTTTCGTCGTTTTGAAAAAGGTTTTGATGATTGCTCGGGAAGAAATTTCGCATCGTGATTACCAATCGATCCATTAAGTTTCAAAGTGTTTCCATCAACATCCATATATTGTTGAATGAATTTCCCTTCACGTGTTCGAAGCCATGCAAGAACTTTATGTGCTCCTCGTTGAATGGGAACATTTTCATGCAATAATGTGTCGAGAAGTGCGAAATTAATCGGATTTTGCATTTTGTGTCTTTGCACTTGTTTGAAAATTTTTCCTTCTTGCTCCACCATCAAATATTTCAAATTAGTGTCGTGGAGTAATTTTCGTTTCTCAGCGACAGTTCGAGGACGATGTGGAAGCGATCGTGGCTCTTTCATTTGAGGTACTTGTAATCGCTCATTCACTTCACTTTTATCACGTTCTTGTGGAAGAAGATTTTGCTTTTGTCTCGCAACGGTTCTTTGATAATCCTCTAAAGTGTTAGTGAAAGCAGAAGCAATTTTTTGATTCTTTACGATAGGTGTTGGTAATTGATTGGGATTTGATGGCTTTGTGAATCGAAGTGGAGCTTTTAATTCCACCAATAAATCATCTTCAGACTCTTCGGTTGTTTTTTCAGACGGTTTCACGACAGTTTCTGTTTCCGAACTATCAGAATTTGTTTGACGCATTTTATCTAACAAAGAATCAACAATTGAAAGTTTCTTCAATGAATTACTTTCTGATGTTCTTCTCAACTTTTTCAATGGTTCTTCTTGATCACTGACATCCTCAGTTGAACATTCACCAAGAAAGTTTTTGATACCAGTTTGAATATATTTTGTACTTAATTGATTCAAAGATTCTTCTTCCATCAACTCTTGAGTGATTTTTTCCTCACAGAATATATCCGAAGATTTATTTTCTTCGATCAACTCTTCAGTGATTTTTTCCTCACAAGAGACATTTGAAGATTCATTAATTTCAGTTGTATTTTTGTCATGTTCAGAATCTATTTCAACATCATGTGGTGCATTGATGTCTCGTCTGACTTCACTATCTGAGAGTTCAAATTCCATAGAAATATTTCCTTTCGCTTCAATTATTTGAAAATTATCACTTTCTTGTTGTTTAGAATTTCTCAATATTTCCACATCTAAATCAAGTTTGAGATGAGCAGATGTTTCATCTTCGTCAAAAGAATCTTTAAGGTCTTCAATTTTCTCACAACAATTAAATATTTCAGAACAAACATTTTGAGATTGATTTTGAGCTTCGATTTCTATGGACAAATTTTCATTCCCTTTATCGTCTGTTGATGTATTTTTATCTTCTTCAGTATCTTGGAAAGAGTTAATCAAGTCATTATTTATTTTCTTATCGATATTATTTTCGTGTACAGAATCTTGTTGAATGACTTGATTAAGCTCATCTGTCAGTATTTCACTAGTTTGATTAAGGTCATCTGTCAGCGTTTCACTAGCTTGATTAGGCTCTTCTGAAAGCGTTTCACTAACTTGATGAGGCTCTTCTAAAAGTATTTCACTAGTTTGATTAAGCTCTTCTGCCAGTGTTTCACTAGCTTGATTATTCTCTTCTGAAAGCGTTTCACTATCTTGATTAAGCTCATCTATCAGCGTTTCACTAGCTTGATTATTCTCATCTGTCAGCGTTTCATTAGCTTGATTATGCTCTTCTGAAAGTGTTTCACTAACTTGATTGAGCTCTTCTGTAAGCGTTTCACTAGCTTGATCATACTCTTCGGTAAACGTTTCACTGACTTGATCATGCTCTTCTGTAAGCTTTTCAATGCCTTGAACTGGATTCCTACATGCCTCACTGATATCAATAGAACTTAGCTCCTCATGATTAATTAAATCTTCATCTTGAATTCCGCAACTGCTGTTTAAATGTCCACTTTCTGCTGCATCATCCGAGGAAATTAACTTTTCAGGATGATTTAAGTTGTCGTTAACATCCATTGTTAATTTACTGAATTTGCTGTTTTCATTCGTATTTACCGAAAACCAACTAAAATAAAAGTTTTCATTTAATTATATCAAAGTTTCAAATTTTCTTATGAGATAAACATCACTTTCAGTTGATTTATATACATCAACTTATTAACAAACATAGGAAATGTAATATTTTCATTATCACTCTTGAAATATGCATGTTGTTTACATATTTCATTTATTGGTTATGAAGACACAATTATATTTTTTTGTTTCTTGCAATTATTTATGCTAAGAAATATTTCAGTAAAATGTTTTCAAAGAAAGCGTAAAAATATCTGTTTGTATGGTTGATTGTGTCAAGAAAGACAACAGTTTATTAAAATCACATTTAAATTTCGACACTTTTTTACATCAAAAACACAATGGCGGATTCATAAAAATATTTAAACAGCAAATAAACTCTTACAAACCTTTAAAGAGCTTATTCCTTATGAAGTTGAGAACAAATGATGTGTTACAAACATATTTTTTATATATTATAAATTTATTACCCTACTTTTTGATATTTATTTGTTTAAAACTTTAGAATTTTCAGGCGAGATCTTTAAATATTTTAATGCGAATAAAAAATGCGTCTTGCCCCGCTTTAGCTTCAAAGGAGCTGCGTTGTTATAGGTTTGTGCCTTGGCTAGCGTTCTTATAAGGAAATAAATGTGCTTCCTCGTGTGTCTTTAATTTTTGTTCATATTTTTATTTTCGCATTTAAACTATAATTAACACATGTCTATAAACACTAATTTTAAAATTGGTACAAAACAACACACTTTCTATGAAATATTGTAGATATCAATATTTTCCATAATTTCGATTTGTTTACAAATTTTTTCGATATTGGAGGGGTATGTCAGCATTTAAATGTCGCATGACTAAAGAAAAGTGTCTTGAATAGCTTCTAAAGTCGAAACATGAGGAAAAGATTTAATGCTATTTTATTTTTGAAGTTTTTAAACAGCGACGCTCTCAAAATAGTAGCCACATCGAAATATTTATATTAAAGTCCATAAATACATCTGAATATGTAGCTAAAATATAAAACTAATATTTTAAAACTTCAAATGCTGGCATTTTGTAAAGTCAATGCAACCGTTTAAAATTATTTGAACTTTTTTTTCTTGTTCGTTCGAAAGTGGTCGGATAAAGATAAAAAATCACTTTCTGCTCTTTTGTTACCGTCGCAAGTTCATCAACAATTAGAGCAATACACATCGTCGTTTATTAAGAAAAATGTCGTTGTTGACCAGAAATGTTGTAAGAACATTGGTTCAGGTGAGTGAAAAGTTGAATTATTATTGGAATCAGTAAATTACCTTGATTTTCGTATTATGCAACAACATTGATCAAAAAGAATTAAAACATTGTTATTGATTTAATATTTTAATTTTCACTGAATTATAGGCTTCTTCAAGAAACATTCACTCAACTGGGGCACTTAATACATCAAAGCCTGAAGGTCGGGTGACATGTACATTGATTCCTGGTGATGGTGTTGGTCCTGAATTAATTTACTCAGTGCAGGAAGTCTTTAAAGCTGTCAGTGTTCCCGTCGACTTCGAGCCATTTTTCCTCTCAGAAGTGAATCCTGTTTTAAGCTCACCTCTAGAGAATGTTGTAGCTTCAATCAAAAAGAATAGAATTTGCTTGAAAGGAATTCTTGCGACTCCTGATTTCAGTCGAACTGGTGAATTACAAACTTTAAATATGAAGCTTCGTAATGAACTGGATCTTTATGCGAATGTTGTTCATGTTGCAAGTTTACCAGGTGTTAAAACTCGCCATCAAAACATTGACACTGTTGTGATTCGAGAGCAAACCGAAGGAGAATACTCAGCTCTTGAGCACGAGACTATTCCAGGCGTTGTTGAATGTCTCAAAGTTATTACGGAAACAAAATCTTTAAGAATTGCCAAATTCGCTTTTGATTACGCTGTTAAACATAATCGTAAGAAGGTCACATGTGTTCACAAAGCTAACATCATGAAGCTTGGCGATGGATTGTTCTTGAAAAGCTGTGAAGCGATGGCAAAACTTTATCCAACAATCGAATTCGAGAAAATGATTGTCGACAATACAACAATGCAACTGGTTTCCAATCCACAACAATTTGATGTCATGGTTGCACCAAATCTTTATGGTAACATCATCGATAATCTCGCATCAGGTAAAATCAACAAATTTTTATTGTTTTCTTTAAAATGTAGAGACAATATTTTATTCCAGGTTTGGTTGGTGGTGCTGGAGTTGTATCTGGTGCATCATACTCAGCTGAGCATGTCGTATACGAACCAGTGAGTATTTTATAACAATTAATACAAAAAAATTGTAAATTTATTAATTTTTTTCAAGGGTGCGCGTCACACATTCTCAGAAGCTGTCGGCAAGAATGTAGCCAATCCAACTGCAATGTTGTTATGTGCATCGAAGATGCTCCGTCACATAAATTTGCTTCATTATAGTCAGCAAATTTATGGTGCTATTCAAAATGTATTGAAAGATGGTAAAGTTCGCACGAAGGATCTCGGTGGTAATGCAACAACCGACGAATTTACAAAGGCAGTCATTTACAATTTGAAATAAGTTTAATGACGGTGATAGATGCGAAGCTTTTTGAGCGATAAATTGGTGAAGCTTAGATAAAAAATTATGAATCTTCTTATCCTATGATTCCCTCCTCTCTTCTTTAATTACTATTTAGTTACCAATTATGAATTAAATTATCCCTCCAACCCACCCTTCCGACGATTTAATAGTTGTATTTAAAATTTATTTATTAATTGATTAGACATCGAAATTAAATTATTTACTTGAATGCAATTAGCCAAAGGTTGTTTTCATTGAAAATGTGTTAATACGCTCAGTTATGGAATCATTTTTTGTTCATTCACTATGAGTGTGTGAAGTCAAGTTGTAAGACTAAAAGACGCTAATAAAATGGAAAAAATTCGAAATTTCTTTGAAAAGACAATAATTACAAATTGTAGAAACCATTTGGATTTTTTTTCCCTTCAAAATTCATTTTTTATTGAGTCACTTTACAGAACGACATTAAAAGAAATAAAAATGGTTTTGTGTCAACAAATGAAAGAATCTTTTGTTGGTTGCAAGAAAATTCAACAGAAATCAACAAAAGAAAATTGCAATAAAAAACTTTGCAATTGTGTGAAAATATTTGGAAGCGATCATTTGAAAGCGAAGCGAGCTAAGAAGTTTCATTGCAAAAGTAAGAGAATTCGAAGACTTGCAGAACCTAAGCATTTAACACCAAAGCACAGCGAAGTCATGATTCAATCGAATAAAATTGATATAGAAGTCAAACGGTCGTACGAAGAACAAACTCCAGTAAGAATCAAATTGCTTGCTTATCCGAAAGTACGCAAATTGGTTGCAACAAGAGACGCTCATAAGAATTCTATTGACAATCATTGGTATGGGAGATTCAATGGATTAATACAACGATCGCTGCTTACTATGTACAGTCGATTTGCAAATGTCCAAACGCCTGAGAGAGTTTGTGGTAAAAAATGGACGCGTGACGATTGGATGAAACATTGTGAATGGTTGAAAAAGCGAGCACTTCCTAAAGTCGTTAAAACACCGCCAACACCGAAAAATAAGAAAGTTCCTTTCAGCGAAATTGCTGAGTCTGTTCTTATGCTTTCACAACCACGAAACCCACGTGAAAGATTTAAAAATGTTTACGGATACATTTCATCAGTTGATGCTAAAGCTTTGCTGTATGAACCTTCTGAGAGAATAGTTAAATTGGCATTGCCAAAGCAACGTAAAAGTGAAGAGAAAGTTGATGATGAAGACGAAGAAGAATTTCAGCCATTTTCAGTTTCTTTAAATGCATTAAAATATCAACCAAGTAAAATTCTAATTTTTAGCTAATCTTAAATCTGAAACTTTAATTGAAGATTTAAAAATTTTTAGCTGATCGAATCAAGGAACTTGCAATACCAAAAGCAACAGAGAAACCTGAAGATCTTTCTGAATTCACAAATTTTGGTGTCATTAAACGTGCTTTGAATGCACAACCAAATCAACGAACCGTGGAATTGTCAAAACCAAAAGCTGTAGTCGATGATGAAGACGATGAAGAAAAACCTTTCGTCAATCCTAAAGCATTAAAAGCAAAAGCAACAAAACGAATCATTGAACTTGCAAAGCCTCGTAATCCAGTTGGGGGAGCAAACGACGAGAAAAATTGAAGAAAGCTTTGAAAATTTACATTGAAACTTGATTATATCGAAATTCAAAATTTTTCAGAGTTGATATTTAGAAAAAGTTTTCATCGCTTACCAAAAATTCTTGTGTCATGGTAGAAATTTGTAGTAATAAAAAACTAGAAATTGATAACAAATTTTCAATAATTTCATTTAAATCTTCGAGTTCATGTGAAGAAAATCTTTCAAATGATGAAAGTCTTCATGTGAAATTTCAAAATCATTATCATATGATTCATGAAGATTTTGGCGGATATTGCAGGGATTGTGAAACAAAATTATTAATTAAAGAAAAATTGAAGCGGCGTCAGAAACGTTTGAAACATTTAAGGAAGCTTTCAAAAGCGAAAAAAATTACCCACGAGAATTTTCCTGTAATTAATTTCCTGCAACTTTATCATTGATTAATTTAATTCGTTTCTAATATTTCGTTAGATTGAACGACGTACCGTGAACTTGAATAAAATACTTCCACGCTTATGTGAACTGGCAAAGCCTCGAAAAATTACTCCAAAGTATCAAAAACCACCAGAAAAACATTTTTGTTTGCCAGGAAAAATTCGGGATTGGAAAGCGTATGTTGTGGAAGTTTTTCCCTAATTTTTAATGTTTTAAACTAAAACAAACTTTCTAACTAGCCATTATCTTTGGCTTGAATCTCGTGCTCGTCCAAAACTCATTTATAAACCCATAACACCTGAAATTCGTTCCAAAACTCGATCGATGTTAAGAACATTTAAGATTACTTCAAGACTTGAACGATTGGCAAAGCCGCGTTTATTTGTTTCAAATTTTGGTATGTTTAAAAGCTGCGGAAGGAACAAGAAGAATATTAATCCACCTAATACACCTATTATTATTTATTGAACCAAATAAATTGTTTAACAGCTTACAAGATGCAACAAACTTAAAAGGAAAATAATGAAAGCATAAAATTTATTTATTAAAACAGCAAACGTGTCCATGTTCAAAGGATGTTCCCTGTTAGACCCTCACCAGACTCTTTAAAGGTAAACTAAATTATATCGGTTGGCAGTTTTTGTTTTGCAGTCCATCAATTCGTCAATTATTAAAGATATCCAAATAATGATAATTGGAGTATTTTAAATCATTTAAACTTCATACATATGCATGTGTACATGTCACAGTTTATTTCACGCTTTCAGTGCATTTAGTTCATGAAAAATCCTCTTCAATATTTAATCGTAATTTAAAAGTGATTTCACTTCGGATGATGTTTTATAATTTTTATGATTCTGCAAGTCATTTCTATCACTTTCTATAATTTTCCTTGAATATTAAACTTATGAATAAAAAATCAAAGACCAAAATTCAAAAGAAATTGTAATAGAAAATATAAAGAAATAGTATAATAAAGATTATTCCTTCTTTTCGTTTCGCGTGATGATGGCCGAAACTTTCCATGAATTTTCTATCCAAAGGTTTCCTTATGTTTTGTTGTAATGTATACACCAAATGTAATATTCCCAATAAAAATTTTGTCACTTGTTTCGAGTGTGAAAGCAAGTTTATAATCACCTGTGGCGAAATATGCAACTTGTTCCCCCATTACTAATGTTTGATTCATAGCAACTATTTCCTGTAAAAAATAGAAGAGTTTCAATATCATTTGTGAATAAGAAATTATTTTACCGTATATGGACAAGGATGAACAAGATTAGGAATACTTCGTAGTAAAGTAACTAAACTTTTAAAATATTTTCCTGCCGCTTTTTCATTGTACTTGCACCAATCGAAGTCTGCTTTTAACACTTCACGAAATATTGTTCCATATTTATAGAAAAATTTTCCTTTAATCTGAAGGAAATTTTCATGAATTTGAAAGATATTCAGAGAATTTTGATATGCTTACTATACAGTCGGATATATTTTTCTTGGAGATTATGTAGATATTAAATGTTGAGATTGTTCTGCTATAAGATTTTGCATAGCAAGTGTAGTTCTCGTATGCAAATTCGTTTGAAAAATTACATTTTATGTATTTAAAATGTCCCACTGGAGGCTCAATTTTTGAAAAGCACGACGAATTTAAAATTTTCATAGAAAAATAGAAAATCCAAATTTTTATTGAAGCCTTCATCTTTCACTGTTGTTCTGCTACTCTTAAAATTGTAGCAAGCTTTTATACCCAGACAAAAATAATCACCATAACAATTTTAATTGACATAATAGATGTAAATAATATCGGAAATTTACTTAATTGACGACTGATCTTTGATGATTGGAATTAACTTTAAACGTTTTCCTAAAATCATTCAAATTTTGAACGCAAGTAAACATTTTTAAATCTATGAAATTTGTCTACAATTCTAAACTTTTATTTATAAAATTCTACAATAATAAAGTAGCAGCAGGAAAAAGTTATAACACTGAAAAATTAATTAAATTATTGGATCTTGTTTGGTGAGTTTCATAAGCTTTCTCGATTCATCCCAGAGAATTGTTTGCCACTGCTTGTTGAAGACTCTTGCATTAGGCCGTGACTCGCGACAGTTGCGAAAGTATCGACCACTTACAAAATTGAGATCAGGAGAAAGTGCTACAAAAAGTGTAGTCTGACAGCCTTCATATGAATTCTTAAGGAAAAATTTAAATATCGCTAATGGAATTTGAAGACAAATTGGATAATTTCTCCAAATTTTAGAATTCGTCATTCCAGGATGGAGACAATTGACAGTGATGTTGAATCGTTTCAATCGTTTTGCAAGTTCAAGTGTGAAGAGAATATTGGCAAATTTTGAATTGTTGTAAAGTTGACCAGGCAGCCAGAAGTCGATTGGATTCAAGTCACCTTCTCTGGTTGGCTTTAATGTTGACACGTGATGATACTTCGATGACACCACAACAATTCTTGCTGGTGACGATTTCTTCATTAAATTAATAACAAGATGTGTTAACAAGAAAGGTCCATAATGATTTGTGGCCATTGTCAGTTCAATTCCATCAACGCTTTTAGCTTTTTTGAATACTCCTGCATATCCAGCATTGTGAATCAACAAGTCAAGCCTCGTCTCACATCTCAAAAATTCCTTGGAAAAGTCTCTTATCGATTGTTGTGAACTCAAATCCAACTTCATCACCACGACATTTTGATTGCCCGTCGACTTGACAATCTCATCTGCAATTGAAGAAACGTTCACCAAATCAGCAAATGGAGGATTTTGTTTTCGGTTCAATTTTGTTTCAGGTTAAGAAGCAGTGGTGCTAAAAGTAATTTTTTGATTTATACAGAAATTGTGTGATTTTTTTTCTTTTGAGGTAAAAAGTAGATTTATTGCAACTTTGATGTGATCCCTAAAAGCTTAGTCGCTTTAACATTTCATTCGAATTTAAGATCAGTTTAAAATTTTCACTTCATGTGCGACAACCTCAAATGAGAGTTCTTCTTAATAAATTATTAATTTGTCTCTAATTAATCAGCTTCTACTTTATTGAGTTAATCATTCAAAAGATCAAATTGTTAAAAATCAATGCTAAGTATGAAATTTTCGATTATGTTTTACAGATCAAATGATACACGAAGATTAAAAATTATCAACAATATTCAATCACCTTTAAAAGCAGAACAGAATATTAAATAACTTTTAAAACCAGACAACTTTTGTAAATAAAAATCATTAAAGAAATGGAATTTAATTGATGTTTTTGAAGAAATTTAGATTTTTGGATCAGCGGCTGTGAGTTTAACAATTTTCACCGACTCATCCCATAAGCGTTTGTGCTCTTCTGCAACCGTGATGTAAGGTTGAAGTTCACGTTCTTGACAATCCAAGTAATATTTTCCAGTGACACCGTTAAGTTCTTCAGAACATGCGACCATGAGTGTTGTTTGTGCACCTTCAACAGTTGTCTTGAAGAAACTCTTCATGAACGACATGCCAATGCTTAATGGGAATGGAACATTGCGCCAAATGCCTGAATCAATCATACCGGGATGGAGGAAATTAACAGTGATATCAGTTCCCTTCAAACGTTTTGCTAACTCAATAGCAAACATGATATTTGCACTCTTTGATATGTAATACAAGTAGCCCGGCATGACATCGATTGGATTCAAATGTTTTTCTAAATGAAATCTAGACATCCGGTAACATTCAGAAGCAACAATCACAATACGACATGGCGTTGACTTCTTCAAGAGATCAATCAACAAATGTGTCAACAGAAATGGTCCGTAGTGATTGGTTGCCATCGTATATTCAATTCCATCCTCAGATTTCGCTTTGTGGAACGTGTTTGCGTAACCGGCATTATGAATCAACACGTCAATCTTTCTCTCTGATTTGAGAATCTCTGCTGCAAATTCGCGAACCGACTTTTGTGAACTCAAATCGAGTTTTCGTACGAAAACGTTTTCATTTCCCGTTTCCTTAATAATTTCATCTGTAAACAGGGTAGGAGGGTGTTGGATCAATTTTGTTTGATTTTTTTCTTTGTTTCTTTTTCAAAATATTTTCATATATTCACAAATGATTCAGAAAGAAAAAGGAAAGGGAAGTCAAAAGCATGCAATGTCGTTGTTATTTACAAATGAATGGAAAAGTTTCGGTTAAAGAAGGATGTGCAAAAGATTTAAAAGAAATTTGCGAAAGTTTGAACTTACCACGAGCTTTGTTTGCGGTGTCCATCGTTCTACATGCCATGATAACACGAGCTCCACGCTTGGCTAAGTCTTTTGCGGTTTCTTTGCCAATTCCACTATTTCCTCCAGTGATTAAAACTGTTTTGCCGTCCATACGAACCTGTTAAAATGAATGATAAACTCATTTAAACAGTTTCAGAAATACACAAAATTTTATTATATTTTAGTTAATTAATTTAACCATTTAACAGTTGTTATGAGATATTTGCAAACTTACATTTGATGTAAACTTTCCACATGTTGCTTTCAACCATAATCGGAAGACAAAAATCACTGTGAAAATACCGAAGACTATCGTGAAATAAATTGACATGGCATTTGTGTTGGGAATTTCGTACCACGCCATGCTGAAAAACTGAATCTAATATCTGATAAATAATTAAATTAAAAATGGGATGTTAAATGTGAAGTCTTTTCGATGGTCAAGATGAAATTATAAAGCATAAGAAATGACGTCAATAGTTAAACATGACTTTTGATTTACAAATCGAAACATTAGATTAAAGATGCTGAGAATTTATTGACATTGAATTAAACAAGTTTAAATTTTATCAATGCCACTGACACTCCAATCAACTTGAAATTCATCTAAGTTACTTGAAAGGGCAAAGATATAGAAATGAAACTCAACTACAATAAAACCAAATTAGCCGTCAAGTAGGAGATTCAACACTGTCGCTGGCATGACTACAAAGCGTAATTTCCAAACAGTTTTTGCTTTCAAATTTGCTTCTTGCTTTTTTTTGTTGTTGGCCCAAATATAAGCAAATTAGTGTTTGTTGATGCTGTGAGAGTGTATAGTCATTTCCACCTGTTCATGACTTAAGATTATTTATTTAAACCGTGTGCTTTAAGCTTCTTCTTTTACAAAGTCAGTACAAGAAGGCCGAAATGTTTTTTCGATTTTTTTCTCATTTTTAATTTGCTTTAGCCTGACGATTTTAAGTTTTATAGCATTTAGAAGCATTATTCAATGAAGCGTAACGAACTTCGAACCAAGATTTTAAAAATGTTTTAAAGGAATGACAATTTCTGACCCCGAACGAAGTCCAAAATTCTTAAATAGATTTCATCAAATACATCTCGATTTAGGTAAGCAATAAAATGACAAATTTCTTTCTTATCGAAACCAGTCAGAGGACCAGTTTGACGACAACCCCAAAAATATTCAAATGAATAATAAGAAAACCAGAAGTTGAAAGTCATGTTTAAGTTTTGCCACGCAATCAATTTTCATCGATTCGTCAATTTTTAACAGATCGCTTAAGCTTACTAAACATTTGCTGATGCAAACAAAATGTATTTAGTGCACTGTGAATAAACAAAATTTCAATACATATTTCGTGCTTAATTCAGAAGCCTCGATTAACGACTCATCAATTGAAAAATATTTTCTCAACAACATGAATAACGTTTTGACCACGAAACAAACTCTCAAAGATAGAAACCTTGAATTACCCGATTGCTTATTTTCGACGTTTGAAATAATTTCACTAATTGCACAAGAAATAAAAAAATACGTAAATGAAAAGAAGAAACGACTGAATGATTCAAATGCACGAATAAGACTGAAACATTTGGACTGAACAGCCGAAAAGCATTTACCAAAAGTCTTTCCAGTGAGACTTCAATGACTTACGTAATACATTTCCATTCTCTCAAACCATTCACTGCCAAAAAAAGAAATGAAAGCATCTCAAGAAATTCCGTCGTATGTGTTTGTGTTGAGAGAATGTGACGAAAGAATTATGAAAATAATTTTTTCTAAATGAAAACGAAAATTAAAATTGCGAAACAAAATGATCTTGAACCATTCTTCAAGGTTTTATTATTTCTTCGTTTATTTATTTATCTTAGCGTCAAATGCTCTACGTTACAAACCAATACAAGTTATTGACATAATTCTAGTTCATATTTGTGGGTCAGTTGATTTTAATTGTACAATCTTTATGGATTCTTCCCAAAACTTTTTATTCTTTACGTCATCTTTTACAAAGTTCATTAAACTGGTTTCTCTGCAGTCACTGAAATATTTTCCAGATTTGTTTTGAAGTAATTTCGAGACGGAACACATAATCGTCGTTTGTGCACCTTCTTTGGCGTTCTTGAATGAATATTTAACGAGTAAGTTTAGTGGAAACGGGACTTTTTTGAATATTGCTGTGCTGCACATGCCGGGATTTATAAAGTTTACAGTAATGTTGGAGTTTTTCAATCGCTTTGCAAGTTCTAATCCAAACATTATGTTGGCTGTTTTTGTGACATAATAAAGATAGAACGGGAAGGTGTCAAGCGGATTTAAATTGTTGAGATCAACTCTAGCGATCTTGTAATATGCTGAAGACACAATTAGAATGCGACATGGCGTTGACTCTTTCAGCAGATCTATCAAGAGATGTGTCAATAGAAACGGGCCATAATGGTTTGTGGCCATGGTCATTTCAAGCCCATCAACACTTTTTCTCTTCTTCGATGTGCTTGCACAACCTGAATTATGAATCAACACGTCAATTTTCTTTTCAGTTTTCAATATTTCGGATGAAAAATCTCGAACAGATTGAAATGAACTTAAGTCTAATTTTCGAACGATTATATTTTTATTTCCAGTTTCTTCGATGATCTCATCTAGAAAAGTCGTTATTTTAGAATAAATAAATTGTTAAAATATTTAATTCATTCAATAAGAACCTCGAACTTTCATTCCTACATCAATTTTACGGCTTGCCATTATGATGCGAGCTCCACGTCTCGCTAAATCTCGAACAGTTTCCAAACCTAATCCGCTGTTTCCACCTGTTATTAGTACAGTCTTCCCTGTCATCGTTTCCTAGTAATGTTGAAGTTTTAGTTTATAAATAATCAATTAAGATGATCAACATTCAACTCACATCTGATTGAAATTTTCCAACTGTTGTTCGTAGCCAAACATGCCACACACCAATTCCAATCATCAAACCCACTAACAGATAAGCTAACAATGTTAACAAAATTACAAACATCTTTGATTGTTCAAACTACTTAAAGACAGGTTTTACTTCAAAAAATTGTTCATTCAGATTATTGAGTAAAAATTTTAAACACAAACTTTCATTTTCTGCCCTTAACTCTCTTTAAACTTCCAAAATATCGGTTACGATGCTTTCTGTTATGTTCATGTGGAGCTACTGAGAAGACTATCAGAGACACAGTAAATAAATTTACTTACAACCTTCCTTCAAGTGTTTGAGTTTATTCATTTACTGGAACGACCAAAACTTAATTTTCAAGTGAATTGAAAATTTTGGAAGTTTTTGTGAAAATGTGTTCGTAAGTGTTAATTCAAGCGGCACAACTTATGTTAAGTTTTAAACAGGTTTAACGTACATTGGGCCAGTACGAATACTTTCATGGAAATTGCGGATTGTTTTTACATCTACCTTAGTCAGGTATCATTTACATTTACTCTGAGATTGTATTTAATTTTATTTGTCATGAAAGCTCATTCAATTTAACAATATAACAAATTTTAATTTTTCGCTTCAGCCCACAATCCATAAATCTAAAAATAGTAATAAAAACTCAATAACATCGTAAACATTTTTGTTAAATTTTAGGATCTGTCGGTTGAAGTTTCACAATTTTAATTGACTCTTCCCAAAGTGTCAAACACTTTTCTGGGTTGGTAATGTATGGTCGTGGTTCATCTTCTTTACAATCCTTAAAATATTTCCCTGACACATCTTTTACTTCTTCAGATGTTGCTAAATAAATAGTCGTCTGTGCACCAATAACAGGATTTTTCATTAATTTACTCCAAATAAATAATCCCGGTTTAAGAAGTGTGTGCGTGTTTCGCCAAATTCCAGTATCAATAACACCTAAATTTAAATTATTTAAACATTGATTAACATTTAACAACATCAACACAAGAAATTTACCTGGATGAAGACAATTTGCAGTTACATTCGTGCCTTGAAGGCGCTTAGCAAGTTCCATTGTGAACATGATGTTACAACCTTTTGATGCGTAATACAACAACCATGGATTATTATCGATTGGATTTAAATTTTCAATGTCAGGACTCCATACTCGATACCAAGATGAAGCTACAACAATTATTCGGGAAGGTGCAGATTTTTTCAAGATATCAATTAAGAGATGAGTTAGTAAGAATGGGCCGTAATGATTTGTCGCCATTGTCAACTCGATTCCATCAACGCTCACAGTTTTTGTGAAAGTGTTTGCATAACCAGCGTTATGAATTAAAACATCTAAACGTGATTCCTTCTCAAGAAAAGATCTGGAAAATTCACGAACAGACTGTAATGAACTTAAGTCAAGTTTCATTACAACGATATTTTGATTTCCAGTTTGATTGGCGATTTCATCTAAAACACATTTGTTAATATTTTCTTATAATGGAAAAACGAAGATCTTAAAAGTTTTTACGCACCTCGATATTGATTAGCTGATAAAAGGTTTCGACATGCCATTATGATGCGACATCCACGCTTCGCTAAATCTCTCACAGTTTCTTTTCCAATCCCACTATTGGATCCGGTGACAATGACTGTTTTGCCCTCCATTCTTCAACGTCTATAAAATAAATACTACGGTTATATGATTTTAAGAATATTAAATTGTTTCTTATTAAAAAAATAATTTAATTTCCTTCTCATATATTTTAGCAGCTATTTAAATAATTTATGGTCTAAGTATGTGGATGTTTGCTGTAATGGTACCACATGGACTTTGAGACTTTAAGTCACAACAAAAAGAATTAATTTCACAATGTGTTAACTTTGAACATCAAATTACTTTTCTAATCACTACTAAAGAGAAAAGCAACATTCAAATCACCTAAATGCTAATAAAAAGTGAAACTTCAAAATATATTTAAGCATTTCAAAATATCTTACCGAAGACTTGACTTTAACTGTTTTTGTTTATGATGAGCGAAGAAGAAATGAATAGCACGAAAAAAATAAAAAAACAAACGAAATGATCGGAGTGAAGTTTTAAACTAAAGACTGATGAGCGTTCCAATCTTTTTCATTTTCAACTATGCCTCTCAACAACCAACACAATTGAGAAAACCTGTTTACGTGAAATGTTGTGAGCATGACATCGCGAATCATTCGCATCGCGTTGTTATACATAACAACTTCATTTAAATGCAATTTCAAGCAGTAGGTACTTAATTTAGGAAGAACCTGCAGATTAGGTTCCTGATTTCTTTTTACTTTCTTTATTTATTCCAAAAAAGTTTCATAAAATTGTCATAATCAACACTTATAGATTGCATAAACTGCATTAATGATGATCCAAACTTCTTATCAACTTGGAAACTTGTTGTTTGATTTCTACTTAGAAGTGAACTATTTGTTGCACGATATTTTGTTTGAACTTGAAAAGTTATTAGTTCAAATGATCATCCTTCGTTTCCATTTTCCTTTGACAATTGGCGCTTATAGTTAGAATCATTTGCTCTATTTCAGTCTCATTTCTTTCACCGTAGTAAAGTGTTGAAGTCTTCAAGTTGATACAAGGATTTAAAGATAAATCGATCACTCGAAGTTTGGGGAACAATATTTTGATGTTTTTGAAAATTATCTCATCAATATGTGTGAGCGAATTATTTGCTGTAGAAAAAATAAAGTTTTGAATTAAGTTTTAGATATGGGAAAAACCGAAGGAAGTAGTTATACCCATATGGAGTCCCTTTAATGAAGACAAAGGCTCAAGAAGACCAAAATCTAAGCTTTCCAATTTGTTATCATCTTTCGGAAAAAAATAAATGAATAATGAAAAGCGATACTGAAATATTTCTCATGTTAAGTCTTTTACGTAAAACCTCTAATAAAGTGGTAAACACGTCATTATTACAAAGGATAGATTTTACTAAAATGTGATCAATCTTACCCAAATTCAGTATCTCCAACGATGACAAAGATGCAAATATAGCATGGTCTAATTTATCCAATTTGTTGTTTTTTAAGTGCAATACATTCAACTTGCCTAGACCTTGAAAGGCATTTCTGTCAATATGATTAATCGCGTTGTTATCTATTAGGAGAATAAAATCGGAATTATTTAAAACCTTTAATAGATAATTGAATACAAAACAATGTAGCAAGCCGATTTGTAAACAAAGGATATATTTTATTAAAATGTGATCAACGTTACCCAAAAGAAGATATATCAACGATGATAATGATGCAAATATTTCATGGCCTAATTTATCCAATTTGTTGTTTCTTAAATACACTGTTTTCAAATTGCTTAGTCCGAGGAAGGCATTCCTATCAATATGATTAATCGCGTTGTTATCTGTTAGTAGAATAAAATTGGAACTATTTTCAAATACAGTGGATTTTCTTTATAAGAATTCTCCTTGTAAGTAAAAAGCTCTTTATAAGCCACACACTCATATTAAGAAGTAATGTTCAAAAAAGTTCTTTATAGGAAGAAGCTCTTTATATGTGACTCCCTTCAAAATTCTTATAAAGAAAGTTCACTGTAGGTTCAATAAAGTGTTGAATATAAAATATTGTAGCAAGGTGATTTGAAAACAAAGGATATATTTCATTAAAATATGAACAATCCTACCCAAATTCAGTATCTCCAACGATGATAAGGATGCAAATATATCATGGTCTAATTTNACTTTTGGTAGAAAATAAATTCTGGGGGCAATGCTGTGTCGACTTGTAAGTTTTTCTTTTTCATTGATCCATAAATCCCAATCCACTAAAGTAGGAGATTTGTTAGTGGATTGGGATTTATGGATCAATGAAAAAGAAAAACTTACAAGTCGACACAGCATTGCCCCCAGAATTTATTTTCTACCAAAAGTACACAAATTAGAAAGGGACGAAGACATACACAATCTAAAATTGAGACCAATTGTTTCATGTGTTGGTTCACCGACATACAAGTTAGCACAACACATTGGAAAGATTATTCACAAATCAATCGAACAGGGTAATTACAATATTAAAAATTCCTATGAATTATGTGAGAAATTGAAGAACCTTTCGATCCCGAAGAATACTAAACTGGTCTCTTTAGATGTTGTTTCGTTATTCACTGCAATTCCGTTTGAATTAGTGACCAGAGCAGTAAAATATTTTTGGAGAAACATAAGCAAGAACACCAAGTTAGACGAAGACACTTTCATCGAGCTGCTGAAGTTTTTGAATAACAGCAGTTATTTTATCTACAAAGGCGAATATTTTAAACAAATACATGGAACACCAATGGGATCACCGATAAGTCCATCAATTGCTGACTTGGTAATGAATTTTATTTTTGATATGACTATTCCAAAATGTATGTTTAATGTGTACTTGGCGACTAAATATGTGGATGATTGTTTGTTTATTGTTCCGAACAAGAAAGAAGAATGTCTACTTAGTTTGTTTAATGCATGTAATGACGATATTCAATTCACAATGGAAAAAGAGATGAATGGACGATTACCTTTCTTGGACATGATGCTGATTAGAGAAAACAATGAAGTTTTGACGACATTTTATATGAAACCTATGGCAAGCGGTAGGATTTTAAACTACAATTCACATCATCCCTTAAAAATGAGATTGAATGTTGTAATCAATTTGTTTAAAAGAATGAACGCTTTAACAACAAACAATGATAACCACAAAACTTTATTCACGAAATTATTGAAACAGAACAACTTTCCAAGAAACATTATCAACAGAATTATCAACAACAATCAAGTTCATCTACAATCACAGATAAATACAACAAATGCCGTCACCAACATTCATATTCCACTTACATATGTCCAACACATGTCAGAGAAGATCAAAAAGACGTTAACAAGAAGAGTGCCGGAATTCAAAATAGCGTTTAAACCAACTAATCGCGTGAAAAAGTTTTTCACTAAACTGAAAGACGAGATTCCGAAAAATGATTTGACAAATGTTATTTATAAAATCAAATGTGAATGTGGACTTTGTTACATTGGTCAGACGATACAATCAGTCAAAAAACGTATTGGACAACATAAAAATGACGTTAATTCAATTAAGAATTTAAATAGAAACTGCAATGACGAATTTTTGGAAGAATTGAAAGGAAAAACAGCTTTAACTGAACATGTCGCTCTTACAAATCATAAATTTGATTTTGACAATTTTGAAATTGTTGATCACACGAGAAATCGATCACAACTCAATATTCTGGAAATGTTACACATACAGAATAATTCAACAGTCAATCGACGCACTGACACCATGAAACTCAGTCAAATTTATAACGGAGTATTAAAAATGAGAAATAAATTACCGAGAAAGCCGCGACCTGTTCGGAGAAATGAGAGAATCCTGAGATAAGAAGATAAAAAGTATTTTACACAACCAAACCATTTACCAATTAACTTCCAAAGCGATGACATTTTAAACTAATTTTTTATTGACCTTTTAAATTATTTATTTATTTTATTTTAATCATTTCTGTAAGTTAACGTTGAGATTTTAAGTCATTTGTGCACTGATTGTCATAATAATTATTGTTGTAGAATACCCTGAGGATGAGTCAAATCCAGACTCGAAACTAGTCGGTTGAAGGAATAAAATTATAAGAAAAAAGTCTGAAAAAGCCAAAGTCAACAATTTTTATTTAAGTATTAATACACTTATTAATATTCCCTCTCTCTCTCTCCCCCTCTCTGAAAATTTCTATACATTTGCATCAATTTGTATGGCAGGTACCTGAAGCCTTGGAGGTATGGACCTCATTTTCTCAAAATATTTGTCCCCCCCCATGTAAAACTCATTCTCCCAGAAAACTATTAAGATCGCTTAAGAAATATCACAGCGATTTTAAAAAGCTTACAGACAGACAGACAGGGATGAAAGGCGACGGAAAAAAAGTCATTTTTTCACTTTTCTCGATGTTTCATGCTATTTTAAGCATATTTAGGCATAAAATTTTTTCAAACATTAAACATTGTCAATTTCAATACAGTGACCCTTCACCAAATAGTGGGGCCTCCGTAATAATTTCATATAAAAAAAACCAGGTGAAAACAGTTTGAAAACAAAGAATATAGCTTATCAAAACGTGATCAATCTTACCCAAAATAAGTCTTTTCAACGATGACAGAGATGCAAACATTTCATCTTCTAATTTATCCAATTTGTTGTTTTCTAAAATCAATCTTTCTAACTTGCCTAACCCGCGGATGGTATTCCTATCAATATGAATTATCGCGTTGTTATCTATTTGGAGAATGAAATTGATTTTATTTTCAAACAGCTTCAATAAAATATTTAATAAAAAATATTTTTGCAAGGCAATTTGTAAACAAAGGATATCTTTTATTAAAATGTGGTTGAACTTACCCAAATAAAGTGTTTCCAACGATGACAAAGATGCAAACGTTTCAGGGTGCAATTCATTAATTTTGTTGTAATTTAAATACAATATTTTCAACTTGCCTAGTCCGTGGAAGGCATTTCTATCAATATGATCTATCGCGTTGTTTTCTATTAGGAGAATGAAACTGGAATTATTTTCAAATGACTACATAATTAATAATTAAATAATTACGCAGTTCTAAATTTTCTAATGAAATCAAATCTGAAAAGACTTTTCCTTCCAAATTTGCAAGTTGGTTTCTAAACAAATATAAGTTTTTCAGTTTTGAAAGCCCGACAAAATTAGTTTTGTGAATTTCTTTAATTGAACAATCAGATGCTATGAACGTCTGAAGGCTTGGAAATGTTGTTGTAACGTTATCAGGCAAATATTTTGTATTTTTGTTGTTTATAAAAGTCAAAGTTGATATTTCACTATCTCTTGGTTCAGAAAGTAATTTTCCCTTTTCACGGACTGCCACATCAACAAAACATTCTGCAGCTTTGTCGATGTTTATTTCTTTTCTGCAATTCAGAATCTCATCTGAAGCAACAGATGACAGGCCAAAAAGAAGCAGCAATGAACAGATCCAAGTTACTTTTTTCCTACAAGAAGTACCCAAATAATTTCGGAAGTATTAATAGAAATTTTATTTATTATATCACCCCATGTTAGCTTATGCTCAATCTAGAACGATCAACAATCAACTGAATTAGTTTTAAAAGCATAAATATATTTTCAAGTAGGTAATTTTGCGACAAGAGTGGAATCATATTTTAATAGAGCGTTAGAGAAGATTTACTCATGAAATAATAAAATATTTTTGTTTATGATGAGCGAAGAAGAAATGAATAACTCGAAAAAGATAAACAAACGAAATGATCGGAGTGATGTTTTAAACTAAAGATTGAAGAGCTTCTAATCATTTTCATTTTCAATTAACCAACACAATTGAAAAAAAGCTTTTTATATGAAATGTTGTGAGCATGGCATCGCGAATCATTCGCATTGCGTTGTTATTCATAACAACTTCATTTAAATGCAATTTCAAGCAGTAGGGTCAATGATTGAATTGATGTCCTAAACCTATTGTTGGGCCTTCTTTTATTTCTAAAAGCAAGCGTTTTTGGGCATTGTGTTGTTTAGCAATGTTGTTTATAATTATGTTAAAAACATTATTATTTTTGTCAATATGGTGGCTAAAAGCTTAATTACACTGAAAAATTCAAAAGAACTTTCAGTGTTTTAAGTTCAAAATTTAGCCACAATTGAGATGCTTTTTTAATCTTTTAACTTTNTATATGAAATGTTGTGAGCATGGCATCGCGAATCATTCGCATTGCGTTGTTATTCATAACAACTTCATTTAAATGCAATTTCAAGCAGTACATAATTTAGGAAGAACCTGCAGATTAGGTTCCTGATTTTTTTTACTTTCTTTATTTATTCCAAAATAAGTAGTTTCACCTGCTTACCAGTTGGAAGTCATTCTTTGATTTGAATTTGGATTTAGGTAATTTAGTTTTCTTAGGATAAATTAAATTTTGCAACTGGAAGAAAGTATGTATGATTTATTCAGGTTAATTTGTGAAAAAACTGATAGATATCTAT